TTGTGACTGTTTCCAAAAAATGTATGCAATTGGATTAAAAAAGCTAAATATATTAAATTGCCAAAAAAAAAAAAAAAAAAAAAAAAGAGGCAATAAAACTAACATTGGAAAAGGTCTTCTGTTGATTTTCTTATATAATCAGCAACAGGAAACTGACAATATTGGTTATGTTTCTTTTGTTCATTTTACAGTATGGAGGTCTTTCTTTGCAAGAGGTGTGGGGAGGAAGGGAGGGAGGTCAGAAAAATAATAGTACAAGTATTTTTAAAGTAAGAGAAAAATTACCTTAGACCCAAGGGGGAAGAAATGTGACCCAATAGAAGTGAAGCTTCATAAAGCCAGATCTGCTGCCTTATCTCTGTAATCATACCTGACTGATCCTTCATTGTTGAGAGACCTCACTGATACAGAAACTACAACAGATAGATTTAAACAATTTGGCAGTAAAGGTGAACAGAAGCTTTTTCTGTTCTTCTTCTGCTTAGAACTGCTGGAAGTAGTTGTAAATGTTTGCAGAACTCATTGTATTCTGAAACAGTTTAGAGGTGATTTTGCCTGAAAACTGAGTGAACAGTCTGTCAGAGAAAATGAATTGAACTATTTCAGCCAAAACTTCTGAGGAGCAGGAGAAGGATACTGTTAAGTAATTATTCAATTTTACTAAACATATATAAAAACATTAACTTAAGAACTTTTAAACTTTGGCAAAGCAAATAATAACTTGAATTTAACTGGAGAAGCAGAGCTAACATTAGGGGTAGGAATTGTATACATTTTGGAACAGAAGAACTGTTAACATGTTACATTAAACATAAAACTACACAAATAAACCGTATTTTGTGTGAATACTTATACAAATCTGGATTAGGTAAGTGATCTATCTGTGCCTAAAGAATGCTTATCTCCTGGTGCTTGTCTTCACTGGCCTTCTTCATATTTTCTCTTTCTTGCTGAATGAAGTCTCTCCAAATTCAGTAATTTCTCAATTCCTCCTATTTGGTTTTGTATAACGGAGTTCTGAAGAGAGCAGCTGTCCTCACCTTTGAGTGCTTTGTCACTTCTTGCTGGACTGACTGTCATGTGAGAAGATTTCTGCTTGTTCTGCTTGTTCTGTAAAGCTAATCCTTTTTTAACCTGACAGAATACAAATCTTAGCAGTTGATAATTCACATACAAAGGTTCAGATTGTTGGATTTTGCTGAACATTAAGCAAAACAACTGGAGAAAACACATTTAATTTGAAGTGTTTTCATTGTATTTAACTTAGAGAATTTGATAATGACTATTACACTTTTATAAACCAAACTTAACATAAGACTTGGTACAAGAGTGTGACTTTAAAAAGCTAAGGTTGTATTAGAAAGCAGATTAGCAAAATAAATAGCTTAATTAAAGAGTTTAATATTGCAATTGACATTTCTATTGCTATGCAAGCATTTGATTAACAAAACCCAAAATAATGAGGTTTATAGTGTTAACTCCATCTCCACTGTATAGATTAGAAAGCAAACATCAGTAGTGCACAGTCTGTAATAGGTTGGCTTTTTTATGTTAAAGATTTTTTTGTTTTTATAATAGTTTCAATTACTCTTTGATATATTACTGTTAGCTACCTCATATCTAGCCAAATCAAAGACAGATGGCAACACAGTAGGGAAACAGGTTTTTGCCTGATGAGCAAAACCACTGCATTTGAATGATGAGTTCTCCACCTGTAATCTGGGATTTTGTGACTCTTGGGGGAGCAGCACACAGCACCAGCCTGAGCAGGGTGCAGCACAGAGCCAGTGCTGCAGGGGAGCTGCAAGGTGACCTCTCAGGCTCTGCTCCTGTGTTAGGGGACTCCTCTTGCATGGATCACAAGAGGAGACCTTCCCCCTCTGCTCAATCAGTTTTTTAATATTAGGTAACTGTGCCCCAGCCAGCTCCAAGGCATTATGTCTATCAGGCCTACCTTTATTTTAGCACATGAATTTTGTGCTAAAGGTTACCTTCACTAGTACACGAGCATTTCTTCAAGTTTTAAATATGAACAATAAAATTAATGGAAATCTTTCATTATTGCATTTGTAACAATGCAACATTTGTTGCTGCAATGCAGCTGAAGATACTGACACTTCAGGACAATAATGAGTGGCATCACCCTTTCAGTGAGGAAGTAACTGCTCCATTTAAGCAGTAAAAGTTTCAGCCTATTAATTCTCTCGTTTTTCCCCAAGGTCTCAGCAACAAACAGATCATACTTCACTGCAAGCCACTAGTCAAAATCTCTATGGAATAGCATGTGGGGCTGAACCTGTCCTGTACCTGAAAATTGCATGTTTAAACTGAGCTGGAGGTGCTTATTCATCCTTACTGTGGTACTTAAGCATGGACAGACTAATGTTTAAAACAGTTGTTAACATTTTTACTAGAATTACAAGTGCACCTGTGGCATTTGTTAATTTTATCCCTTTTTAGAGTACTGTGATTGAATGAGATTACCCAAATTGTAGAATGCTTAAGTCTGCTCTAGTTGCAATCATACGTGTTAGTCAAAGCAAATGAAGTAGGAAGCAAAAAAGACTGTTGAGCCCATTTTTAATCTCCCAACAGTTTATTTATCTTGGTCATTAAAATGACAAAAAGTTAAGAACAGAAGGTATTAGAATGACACCAGCACGGAAAGGACGGAGTGCTCTGCATTATTGCAGGCTGAGATTTTGTAGATTAAGGATTTGGAAAATCTAAGGTGAAACCAGCAAGGCACTGTTCTTGTCCATCTCTGCTTTTTCTTAGCTAGTACAGCAGGAGCTTTTGTTTGGAGGTGACAAAGCAGCCATAACCACAACCAGGTAATGAAAAAAACACAGCTTTGCTTCAGTTGCAGGTAACAGAGTGGAGTTCACTCAGCTCCTGGTTCCACCTCCGAGAAAAGGCAAGAGACACACAGTAAATACCACCACTGTGTTTGGTGAAAAATCCACCTCGGTGTCATTCACAAGTAGAGACTAGCAAAGGCTAGCAAAGTCGAGTAATTTAAAACATCAGTCTTGTGAATTTCAGGGAATGTGGATGCTGGTGGCATCAAAACCTGGTTATCTGCTGAAGTCAGCCACCTCTGTCCCTTGAAACCCCTGTACACCTCATCCGGAGACAGCCCTAACTACCTGAGAAATCCCTCTAGAACGCCTCAAAAGGAAAGGTCAGCTGCAGCTGTAAGTTACTGTATCACTTTTGAATGATACATTCGATATTGAGTCAAATTCTCTTAGAACAGATAGAATTGTTCAAGCTTACAGAGTCTAACACAGATCTGAAAATGCAGTGATGAGTCATTGGGAAACAACAGGTTTTTACATATTAGTGTGATGTTACCCTGCAAAGTAACATTACTTTAAACAGGGCATCACATAACTACAGTGTGTGTTAAATGGATAGGCTCTAAATCACAGATGTGCTGAATTTTTAGTCTTCCATAAATTCCTTTAAATGATATGGTCTCATCAAGTAATAGAGGAAACAATGTTTTTATACTTTTATATACTACTATTTTCCTTTTTTTAAAAAAATTCTACTTTTACTGTAGGTGATGATTTTTATTAGGGTACACAATAGACTAGCCTCTTCCTCCCCTCCCAAACAGACTGGCTAGCATCTGTTTGATTCATATGCTGTGACTTTTTCCTGCTGTTTTCTATCAACCTTAATTGAGAAAAATGGTGTCTTGTTGCCCTTTTGATATTATTTCGGAGATTGACTTAGCCTTAAAGTATCCAGATGGGTACAGTTGTACAAATATCTGTGGAATTAGCTCATTGAGGTCTGGTCTGCAATATTTTTAATTGACTTACGTGTTCTGTGGGAAAAGAAGAATCATAAAAAGCCTTTGCTGTAGCATTCCATTCTTCACTAGGCTCTCCCTGGGGCTCTCGGTGGATACTGGAGGTATTCAGAGTGTTGGCAGCTCTGTTCAAACTGCTAGAACCTGATTGACAAAAAGGAAATGGTAACAACTGCAATTTGGTCTCCAGCCACTAATTGTGAATGACTAAACTGGTTTACATCTGATCCTAAAAAATCAAATATTTTTGTTTTAAATCCCTGGATCTTTGTTGCAGGCTTTTGCCCTTCATTTTTTTCTTTCACATGCTTCATCTATTTTTTCTCTAAAGATGAGATATATTTCTATTTTGATTAAAAATGTTTTCTCTCATTTTCACATATTGAGTTAATGACAGAAAAGTGACTTATAGAAAGTGTATGTATTCTAAATATTCTAAATGAATATATTTTTTCAAATGCTATTACTTTAAACTCACTGTCTGATAACAGTAATAAAATGCATAATTAATGTCATTATAACATGGTATTCCAGGGTGACTTGTAATAAAAGAAGACATGAATACAAAGCTTTTCAGACAAGCAAAAACATTTTAAATAAGGAGTTCTTGTGTTAATGGCTCTATCTGATGTTTCAGGTGGTGAGCCCTACTAAAGGTAGGAAAGGCAGGTGAGTAGATTAGTCACAGCCAGGTATAAGCCTCCAGTCCTTCAGAGACTTTATGCAGCACCAGTAAATTCTGTTGCAATCAATATCAAGTTCCTTGCAAGCTGAAAATACAAGGATGCTTTCACAGTTCCTCACAGTGCAAACAGGAACTGTTTTGTCACTACACAGATGCCTGTGGATCACTGCATTACCACCGTAAAATCTTGTTTTGCTATGAAAATACATGTTACCTCATGGTTATATAACCATTATTTCAGAATGCTGACATTTTCTCTTGGGAGGAAGAGGAAAATGGTTATATGTTTATTTTCTTTTTTAAGCATCTGCCACAAAGATCTTTCTCATTCCCAGTTAATTCCTTCATTTACTGATGTGGAGTGTCTGCTCCCTGGGAACCAGTGTATGAATAGTAAATAGCACTGTGCTTAGGCAGTAGAAGGAACTCCCTCAGCTAGATTTACTAAACTCTTTCACCAATTCTCTTCACCTCTAGATTTCTCATATGTCTAAATGGTTTGTGCTCCAGTCAGAAAAAAAAAAAAAAAAAAAAAAAAAAAAAAAAAAAAAAAATTAAAAAAAAAAAAAAAAAAAAAAAAAAAAAAAAAAAAAAAAAAAAAAAATAGGTACAGTGTCTACATGGATTCCACTGCAGGTTTGCCATTTGGGAAGAGATCTGCAGACAAAATGACACAAACCCTAAGCACAACAAACACTGGGAGCTGCAGTGACGTGTAGGAGCCCTCACAGGGAGGTTCTCCTCTCTCCCAAGGAGGTGCAGCAGGCTCAGGGAGGGATCTATCTCAAATAGGCAGCATGAAGCACATCTGGGACACAGACTAAGACCCTCAGCATGAAGGTTTGCTGGAATTCAAGGACTGGTCACTAGGCAACTCAGTTGAGGGACTGGAGTTAGTTCCCTACCAATTCCTTTGGATGAATCTCTCAGAGTCACTTGGAGTTCCAGTACTTTGCATGCAGAAAAGTTTCTGACAAGAAGAGGAGGAACTTCTGTTCTTACAGAAAAGATACATGCAGAACATCATGTAACTAGGCATTCATTTTATTGAAAAAGATAGCAAAATTCACATTATTAAAAGAAATAATGTGCCATCTGAGATCAGGATTCTGCTACCTTGCTACCACTACTGCTGTTTCAGGCACAAAGACATTTCTGAAATGGAAGTTCAAAAAATGTGCATCTGAACACAAATATCCATGGGCAGGAGACGACGGAGAGAAACAAAACTACCTATAAAGTTAAATTCATAACAGAGCAATGTAAAGAAACCAGACTGCTGGATTTCTGTCTGCCACTATCTACAAAACTAAAGATGGGAGTCCACTCTGCTCTTGGTGTGTTCAAGGGCCAAAGGTGAAAACCCTGCACCAACAAAAACTATAAACACAAAACACCCTGTTCCTGTGGATCCTGCTCTTCAGAAAACACCCAGGGCTTCAGTTTTGGGGTAATCTACCAGCAAATATTATTGCAAAACAAATCTAAAATACAGGTTTTTCACATCTCAGTAATGATTTAGAAACCCACAGAATAAAGTTCATATTTGCTATTTTATATGTGCAAAATATTGCTCAAAAAATAATAACCAAGTGTCAATAGTAGGAGATTAAAATGCTCTTTGAGCACCTCAAGCTCTGTGTTTTCCAGAGCCTGACAGAATATTAAGTCCTTTCACACACTCAACACATTCATATGGTTTTAATGGTCCATCTAAATTAGAGATGTACAATACAATAAATAGTAAATTTCTGTAAGACTCCTTCAAAGAAGCATCTACTGGTTCAAAATCTACCCTAATTTTGAAATCTACCCTAAAAATGAGAACACTGAATAATTTGCAAAAGCTACTCAATGCTTTTCAGATCCATGCAGAGCCCTGATACAATATGTTCTACATTAGGGTTAGAAATGCCTATCAAAATTCAGTTTGTAATTGCACTGCTGTTATTTCACAAAGGGAAATATGGGAAAAAAAATACTTAATCAACTAAGTGATTGATAAGCTAACAAAAGCTGTTTGGTTGCATTTATAACATAAACAGAGCAATCTCACCTTTTATGATATAACTGAAGTATCAGGCTTACATTTTTCTACACTAAGCTTAGATATAAACATTTCACATTCTAATAATTTTTCTAAGCATTACATGGTTGAGAACATTAATACTTCTATTTTCTTACCTTGTCCTGTTTCTCCACTGTCCACATTTTCACTGAGATCCTGACTCTGTGTGTTTGAAATAATGTTTGTGTTTTCCACTAAGCATGGTAGTTTGTCTTTCAAAAGGGAAGGCTCCTTGGAAGCTGAAGTCCATGTCGCTTGACCTTTCATTTGATTTACTCTTGAATAAGAACTGAGAGCTAAAAAATTCAAGAATAGTGGAGTTTTCTCAGCTTTTTTATCTGAGGTTGAAAGATCAAAGGATGACCTTACACTTGTGTTTACTAAATTTCCAGATGTTCTCATGGGTAAAGAGCATGATTCTTTCAGGTGACCCTCAGCAAACTTTGTTCCTGGAACTGTACTACTCAGCAAGTCTTTTTTCTCTTTTAACAATGTGTTATTTGCTGAAGTATTAATCTCTAGGGAGTGTCCAGTTTTGATTGAGTGTATCTGAGTACCATTGTTAACATTTTTACATGGAATTAGTTTATCTGTATGTGCCCTATCTGCTGGGGGGGGGTTATGAACGATTTCAAGACCATCAGCCTTTACTGGAGATTTGGCTTCAGCATTGGAAGTCCATGTGTTTGTAGCATTCCCTCTTTGTGTAGCACTTCCTTTTTCAGGTTGCTTGCTGTGCATATCATCTGCACTTATTCCTCTCTCAGTTTTTGGGAGGCATAAATTAGGAGTACCTAAGAGAGACTTACTGTCTCTGCATTCTTTTGCAGCACCATCATCAGCACTTGTGTTATCACAACAAACAGTTGGTGGATGTTGAGCATCAGTTTCCAGAACACCAGTGCTGTTCATGTTTCTGGCATTGTCATCATTTCTGCCTTCAGCATCTACTTGTGTCTGTTCCAGAGGAAGTTTATCTCTATGTAAACCACTCAGATTTAAGTTTTTTTCTGTTTTACATAATCCACTGCCTAGAGAATTGTCACTATTCAGCAAGCTGCATTTTTGGTATTCTGCTAGAGAATTCTCTTTAGTATAAGGTAGGATGCCAAAACTTAACTCCTTAGCTTGGTGGTTGTCTGTACTTCTGTCATGCAGAGCACTGTTCTCAGTGCAAAGAACAGCTCCAGACTCGGGTTTGGGTGCTTCAGGTGTGAAGACACCTCTATTGTGCTGTCTGGTGTCTGAGTTTACATCTGCCTTGGCACGAGTCGATTCATCTGCACTATTGCACAGTTCTTCCTTGCTCGTGTCAGTCTCCTTACTTCTGTTTTTCCTGTCAGCACCTGCAGTCTCAGCACTGTCCAAAAAGTCCTTCCTTGTTTGTGTGTGGTGTGCTGCCAAAGGCTCAGTGCTGTCCCATGGCTTTTGATCTGAATCGGCATTGTTTTCATCTGGTAACCTTCTGTGTGCTGTTCCTGCATCTTCTGCCTCTCTGCATCCACTGACATGCATTTCTGAGGTGTGTCCTTGGGTAATTAAATCAGTATCTGTGCAGAGGGTGTTCCTGGGAGAAGCCTCCCTTTGTTTTACTTCACAAGGGCTAGTAACATTAATTTCATCCTTAAAACTGTTCTCAAGAACTTGTGACCCTGTAAGAGTGAGGGTGTTCTCTAGTTAGTGACTGACCCAGAGGTTATGTAATGCTTTATTTTTACAGCTTAGAATTTCCAAAGAGATGGACTCAGGATTGATATAAATAGTGATATCTTATATTACACACACAAGCCCATCAAAAAGTTACTGAAGGTAAGTATTGCACTATGGTAACTTGCAAAATATTTATAAACTGAGAGAGCAGAGAATATATTAATCTTCTGTGGATATTAGATATGACCATTTAAGTCAGGATTTAAGCCCTCTCTTGTCATATACTGTATCTGAAAACATTTTTCCTTTCTTAACAATACTACTTATCTCTATTATCCATTGAAGGTTATTACTTTGTTCTATCTTTAATTCATCAATGCTTGAAGACTGGTCCCTTGTATTTTTTACTTCAGTTTCTTCTTCATTTCCACAATTACCATATTTTCTTATTACAGACTGCATAAACTCATGCTCTTTCTGAATAACCTGTATTTCACTGTCTTTTGAGTGTTCTTGACCACTCTAGCATAGGAAGGAACAAAAGATTATAGGTATTTTAGCAATTTACTATAGTCACTGATTAGGCAAAAAGGTTCAGGACTGAGATTTAAAATTAATTTTACAATTATGATGGAAAACAAAGACCGGAAGCATAAAAAGTAAATGTAAACAAAGGAAAAGAAAAAACCAGACTAATACCCTAGAAGACTAGGAAAGAAATCAGGTCCTGCTATATGACAGTCAACAAAGTTATTCATTTGACATTTCAGAATTCCTCAGTGAAAGGAATTTGTGCTGTACATGTGGTGACTGGATCACTCCCTCTTTCTGCTAGCCCACTCAGTGACCTGCTCAGTAATTCCTTATGCAAAAATCCTGCATGATTGCTGCTTACACCCAAACACATAAACAACATGTGCACAAAAACAACACACACACATATAAATAACTTTTTTTTTCTAGTAAACTGCCCAGGACTTTTAACTTTACTTCACAGGCAAAGAAGGTTTCTGAATTTATAATCCCTGTCATTTAGTTCCTCATTCCCTCCCAAATATCTTGTTTAACTTGAATTGAGTCAAATTCAACAGGAATAGAAGCCTGAAAACTTTGTCTACTTAAAGTCTACATCACTGGTCATTTACTACTGCATCTGTATTTGTGTTCAGTTTTGAAAGCTGCAGTCAATGAAGTTCTGTGGAAACTATGGCCTGAATAGTGACGATAATAAAATCCCACCAAAATAAAAGCAAAAGGAGATGCATCCTTTATCATCATCAACTGTTTGGCAGCTGAAGACAGGAGCACGTGCTGGCTCTTGCCCTAAAGATAGGATATAAAAGTAGGCAGATGTGGGAGGGAGCTTAGTCCATAAAAGATGTGGGAAAAAGCTGAAGATACTTGGGTGACTGGAAGTGTTGCAGAAGGAAGGCTGGGATGTGGGAGGGAGTTACAAGAGTTGTGTTTGGGCACTGGCTGTGTGGGGAGGACAGGGAATATTGCAGAATGGAGGGAGGCACAAAGACAGCACTGCTAAAAAATGGGGCATTTGCAATGCTGGCAGAGTAGGGAATGTAGAATACAATTCTGCCAGGAACAGTTTCCTACAGGTCACAGGAACATCCTGGTGCTCCCAGCCTTGCTCATTTGGGGGAGGGAGGAGTCATGGTAAATAGAGGAGGGTCCTAAAATCCTTTTCCTCCACCCTCAATTTGAAGTTTCAGTTGAAATCTCTTTCTCTTTTCCTCATGTTTCCTCATTGTTATCAACCCTGTCACACCTGGAAACTGTATATATTGCATTTTTTTTTCTTTTCTAGGTATTTAATTAATTTTGCTTCTTTACTCTATGTAGCCCTGGCATCACATTTTCAAGTGTTTTGAATACATATAGTAGAAATTTCCTTTTCCTTTCATGAAATCTGTAATTATCTTACAACCTCTTGTTTCTAGGAGCTCTTTCTTCAGAAAGAAACACTATAACAGTGTATATCACTTTTTTGTAAAAAAAGACAGCCACTGCAGTTGAACTTACCACATTTGTTGGTGTGGGCTGAGCTGGTGACTGCATCTGAAACAAACAGGACAAAGTGTTCATAGAAAGGCAGAAAGGTTTCATGTTTCCTTTCCAGGTTTTCAAATGGGTTGAAGAAAGCTGCTTTTCAATAAATTCAAAAGGCTGTTTAGCCCTTAAAAATGTGTCCAAGATGGGCAGACTAAAATTCCTAAATAACAGAACTGTTAAACTTGGATTTTAATTGTTTGCCTGTGATTTAATAAAATCTAACTAAGAAACACATATATCGCTAAATATCCTTTCCCTCAACAGACTATTTCATAGTATGAAATTCAAACCCTTCTGAAAACCAGATCTACCTGTACATCCACTAGCAAAAGAATTACAACAAGCCATTGCTGGGTGTAACCCTATTCTTTACTGGTACACAGCTGAATTACAAACTATATCAAACTAAAGGTGAAGCATGGTATGATTAAACTAAATTGCAATCCAAGTCTGTAATGAGGTCTGACATTGTTCCTTTACTTTAAAAATGTCTTTTGTTTAATTACTATTCCAAAGGTGATCAGTGTGAAGGAGTTCAAGTGCATTCTGAATTTCATATCCTACAAATAACACGGATTTCAGATTGCTTGGGTGTAAAAATAAGTATAAGCGTATTTCCTTAGAACACTTTGAACCATAGTCATGATCTAAATCCTAGCCAACACCTTTCCCTTTTATGTGTCACTAGATGCTGACTCAATAGTGATACAAGGTGAAATTGCACAAATAAGAATAATCAATATGATCTGCTGCACTTCAGTTTCTTGGCAGTGTTCCACTCAGTCCAACCTGCCTAGCTTTGAAAATCTAATGACTGTACAACACAAAGTGGTGTGGCAATTTGCCATAAGATAGTGTAAGATGTATATTTGGAAGACATCTGGCTTCTTTTGCATTTATGAGCATATGCTTTAAGCTTTTCTGCTTTCAGACCCATGGGGTTATGTTAGTAAGCACCAATACTGTTTATCATGAATGCCTAATCACTTTGATTCTGCATCCTAAACAAAATTGATATTCCATTTCCATTCAAGGAAACAGTGATTTTTAAGATACACAATTTGCATTATTCCTTGTAGAGGTCAGCTTTGGCACAATGAGTAATCATGTCAAGTTTAATTTCTCTCCCATTATTAAGCCCATACCACAGCCATGTATATGTTTGTGTGTGAGCTATAAACATACATATGTACGTGCATTGAAAAGAAATTGATTTTACATTCTTCTAAATCCTAAAATATTTTACTGCTTGTCATTTTACTGACAATTCATGGACTAGTTCTAAAATAGTTACCCGTCTTTACAGTCCTAATGTCTTCCTATCTTTTTTAAATAAAAACAAGACTGTATACATGAAAAATTAGTTTTCCATTCTTTGAAGGATAGATCATTACTTGTTTGTAAAAGTTAATAGAAAATACTCAACAGAACAACAGAAACAGAGAAGGTTTCTTATGGCTTCTGACTCTGCCCAATTTTTTCAATCCTATAGAAGACTGGAATACAAATTTGCAATCCAGTTTGATCACAGGATAACACAGAACTGCAGGGAATAAAACAGAGGGATCTGTTATATCTATATGTATAGCTGCAGGAACAGAGCTGCTATGTGTTCTTCTTGTTCCAAAAGCCCATCTTTATGTGCTTAACCACTTGTTAACTTCCCATATGTGCCCTGCATCTAGAACTGAACATGGGTTTGGTTCACCCAACAATCCAAGCTCAATTCTAGTTCAGCCTGCGCTACATAAACGTTTTTTACCCCCTGCATTCACCACCTGATGAGCTCGCTGTGCCTTTAATGACTCCTCAACATGCTATGTTATATAAAGGTTTTTGTTTCTCAAACTAAAACTGAAGCACTTAGATAACCTGTGTATTGATAAAAATAACCTTCTGATCTGTCCCATGTTACAGATTTTAGAGAAGCTGAAATTAGTTCCTCTGAGTAGAAGTGGACCTGCTTCCACACTTCCAGGGAACTTACACACATGTGAAATCAATTGGATCTGCCCCAGTATTTGAGAAATACTCATAGAAAATATGTCTGTGATATAGGGTTTAGTAAAGATAGGTGGCTTAAGTTAACTGCTGTCTGTTAGGCAAAACTTTATTAATGAAGTACTATCTCAGGTTTCTGTGATATAAAGACCTCTCTTGATAAAAGGAGAACATTCTGTGGGTACAGGAAGTTTCAAGGATACTTAGGGCCATTGTCACAAATTTTTAGGTTAAGCCATGTCAAAGGAGGATCAGTGGACATGACAGACAAGATTAGAAAAACTGTCATATCTTTAGCTCTCTGGCATTTTTACAAGACACTCTGCAGCTAGTAAAGACACTTACCTGCAGATTTTCCACTTGCTCATAATGCTGATTTCCTGGAGGAGGATGACAATCTTCAAGATGTCTATGAAGTCCTTTAAGAGAATTCAGCTCATTTTTAATAGTGTGTATTTCTCTTCTCATGTTTTCCTCCTGTAATAATTGCAAGTACACAGAGCACACCAACACTTTACTGAATGTTCAAATAGGTAAACCAGTGTTTTTCAAAGGTATGAACAGCTCAGCAAATGAAACTTCATCCTTAAAAGAAAGTACACTAAGGAATTTCTTTGTACAAAGTAAGTGAGCTCTTTCAAACCAAAATTTTAACTACATTTCCATTACAGATTATAGCTTTTATTAAGTGGTTTGGGATTTTTTTTTTTTTTCACCATTTACTGCTAGTAGCAATGCTCCAGAAAAGTGAGATTTATATTTGTAGCTTTCTTCCTTTTTGGCTCCAAGATAAATGTAATATTCAAAACTCATTCTCTACCTACATTGTCAAGAAACCACAACAGCAAATAATTTGCTTAGCCCTTTACTTCTGTAAATAGCCTCAAGTATCCAATGCTCCCTCAGAAAGTATGTAACAATTAAATTTTTGTATTTAGAACTAACAGAATAGTCCAAACTACAACCTGTAAAAATAATCTAAGGGCAATTTTACAGAAATATCTTCACTTAATTTACAAAGATTTCCAGACCAGTGTTAATTTTATCCTTGATGATTTACTTTAGGAGACAAAATTTCTAGTTATCCATAGCAGAAATATGAAAAGGAATAACAATTATCTTCTACAGAACAGATGCAAATGTTCCTGAGAATTAAGCAGGACAATTTCCCATGTCTATAGAGAAAATTGTGGTATAAAATTCTCCAAGGAATCAGGGAAATCAAATTTCAGGGAACTGAGCATCAGAACAGCTCAGATATTTTGTGATCTCATGGTTGCAGTCATGCCCATAGTGGCTACACTCAAAGGAGTGAGCCTTAGACAACAGGATTACAAGGACAACTTTGCATTATTTCCCCACAGCTTCCTTGGAAATCTATCTACCAAAATCAAAACCATTCTGGCAGCAAGTGACAAGAACACAGAAATAAAAAAGACAGACTATTAAACAAATGCTGCTAAGAGTCTGGTTTCCACACATTAACCAGATCTTGTCTTATTGAAGTGGTATTAATCTTTCCTATATCTAAACATGCATTTATTACTGAAGACAATTTTTACAGCTATAATATTTTGCTAATTGTTTTGGATTAAATAATTACTGAAGTATTCTTTAAAAGTAATGAGGTAATAGAAAGAATGTCAAATACAGAAGACAAACTATTGTTTAGGTGTCCATCCACAAAGGTGAATTCACTAAGGGGACATAGCAGACACACACCTTTTCTTACCCTCTTTCACCCTCAGTCTACACTGAAGAATTCCTTTCAAATCAGAACTTCAGGAAGAGCACCGACCCTTTAGAGCACACAAGTCAACCTAAATCTACCTTGAAAAAATATTCATTTCTAGAAGTGTCTGTATTACTGGAGAAGAAATGAGTTGTTTTTATTGCATTATTTCTGTGATATTTTCTTGGCTTTTAGTGATTACCTGAAATGCTTGACAACTATTCAAAAAAACTTTTAATAGTAAAACATTTAATTTAATAAACCTACATCATTTTTCCAAGTTCTTAGTGCCTTTTCGTGCTCATTCTGAAGATTAAGGAACTTTTCTTCATTTTCCTTTGCCTTCTCCCTTTGCAGCTCATTATCTCTTTCAAGGGCCTGCAATAAAATTAATTATCCAAAAAATAATCAATACCACATTAATGAATTTTGATGTGCTTTATGTTGCTTGGACCTTTGCTTCTAACATGCTGCAAGAGCCATACAGATCAGTGGTAATGTGCTATCTCAACAATAATTTTCATAAATTAACAGAAAGGTGCTTATAGTTTAGCTAACAGGAAACAGGGGGAGGTTATGAAAAAAGAAATGGCTATAAAGGGGTATAAAAACACTTGCCATTATTCAGTTTCACTGCATAAGTTTTAATGTGCTGAAAAAGTAATATAAAGTCCAGAGATGAGAGATATGAAATGTAGCATAATCCAGAGCCACTGTACTTAAAGAAAAAACTACTGTATACTGACAGGAAAAAATTATTTTTATAATCAGTTTTTCTGTCCTAAATTGTTCATTATAAACTATTCAATCTTTACATTCTAAAACATACCTACTGCAACATGAAATATGTATCTGATTATGCTTTAATTTATTTTTATTAGGTCACTGAAATAGGAGTGTATTGAAATAACAGTAATATTAAGTTTATACCACCATAACTGTACTGGCAACAGTTTTGGGTTAACTCTTTCACCATTCCTGTGCTAAATTAAAGGAGTCTTGTGTAAATCAGTGGCAACTTCACACATGTATCAGGTACTTTTGGAATTTATCCTGTCATATTTTTATCGCAAACAATATGGAAGATAAGAGTCACTGCATTCCACTGCCTGCTATATAGATGACACAAATATATTTGATAATGCAAGCATAACTTTAATGTATGAGCTGTATGACCAGCTACATATTTATGATTCTATTGAGCGTCTTTGAAAGTCCACTTGAAAAATGTTATGGAGGCAATACTCAAATTCCTTTTTACTAAATCTTTTAACCAAAAATGAGTCCACTTTTTGATTCAGTTAGCACCAGTTTTAAAATGTCTATGTTAATTTAGCCAAACTATTTTAAAAAAATATATTTTACAGGTACTAATACTAGAAAAATTCAAACCACCCTGCACTTTTGTACACATGGGTAAAGTGCATAAGAATATAATGGATCTTCTTTGACAGATTACGTATTTCCAAAAATGGGACAATTCAGCAATGCATTGTCTGAATAATCCCACTCTGATATAGCTTTTTTCCTGCAGTTGTATAAATCAGGAGTGCAAGACCTCCTCTCTTTGATGAACCTGCTCTTAACTCCAAGGATGCTTTTACTTGCACCTGAAATGCAACTCCTCAGTGATGGATGAGTATAGTTATTCATAGCATAGCTCTTAGGGCAAAGTCTCAGAAGTAGCTGATGTATGGAACTGATCACATGTTAAAGCCAGTTGTACAGGCAGGGGGATACCTGAATTCCTTGCATTCTCAAGTATTATGTCATCTCTTCACGAATTTTTTTTTGAAAAGTTATATATTCATCTCCCTATTCTTTAAGTTCAATCTGATGTTTTAAAAAATACAAAAAAATGCAAAATAAGAAGCTAATATTGTCTCATTTCTTGGAATATCATGGTAATTGTATCAAACTGAAAAAAAAGGTCTATTTACACCAGTTTAAGTAATGAAGGTTGAACCAAGAGCCTCTTATTGGTTATCCATGCCTTGTAACACCCATTTCATCTAAAGTATTTATGCCTGAAGTTACCTTTGAGGACTGCACTGAAGCTTTGATGACCAGCAGTGGTTTGTGCTGTAGTTAGAACAATCAAAAACAATAATACCTTCCCAATGTCTGATATAAACAGACCAAATCAGAGCAGGCTCTCATCAGAACTAGCATAATTGCAACCAGAAATCCATTTTTGGCCTGCACAGGCTGCAAAAGAGATTTGTCCTCCATTCATACCTTAACAAGAAGAAAATAAGCCATACTTGTAGACATTTATGTGCAGTCTTCAAAGAGAAGATTCACAGATACCATTTACTGTTTTAGCTGGAGCTTTAAGGCATACTATAAACTTTATCTGAGAGGGGAAACAATAGCTCAGAAGTGCTATGGAAAAAAAGCACTTTAAAATACACTTGCTATTCAATAGTCCTGACACAAAGGACTAAAGGGTTCCTGTATTATGAAAGTCAAAGTCATCATCAGTAGGTTATATATTATCTCCAGCCTCTGTTTTAATCTACAAAGCAATTCTAATTATCTTTAAAAATAAAAATAAAAAGCGCATTACCTTCCTACTTTAACAAAAACCAGGATTGTATGAATAGCAAGTAATCCTGCTGTTTCACTGGACCCAATATACAAATAAGAGAAGCTACAGAAAATCATGCCACCTTAGGCAATTCTAGAGCCAAAGGGTTTCTCAATTAATCTTTGTAAAAATGTTGCAGATGCTTTAATTCCTAGGGAGATTTTACCCACTTTCTGGTGGAGAGCATAGCTCACCTTCAACCTTACTTGTTTCATCAAAATACCGAAGTCCTTTGTCTATATTATGGCAGAAGGCAAACTATTTACCCCTGTTAAGAGTAAAGTCTTACGGGAAGTGAATAATTCCAAATTAGCATAGCATCATTCATTGAGAAACAATAGTATACATCCACACTGGAAGTTCAGTTTGAAACTAACTGGACTCCTAGTTCAAAACCTTGGCTTCAAAGAGTGGAAGAGCTGTGGTTATGTCTGGGCAAACTATAGATAATAATTTTTAATAGTCCAGTCAGTGGTTGTACCTGAACTCTGCATGAAACCTCTGATGGGAATGGATATGACCTTAATCTTCAGTGCACTAACTGCTACTGAAATATGGAATCTGAACTGTTCTGAGCTGCTTTGACAGGCTGAAAGAGTGTCCTAGAGTGAATTTATGATGCTTGTGTCCTCAGTCATCTGTTCTGTTTATGCAGAACATAAAGTTCTCCAATTTTAAGACTGGTTCTGAGAGTGAAGGGGGAGGGAAGCAGCACACAGGTTGTTTGCAGAAACTGCACTTGCTCTCCTGAATCCTTCTCACCCACTTGGAACCCTGCTTCCTGAGAATTTCAGACTTTCTATGCTGACAGGCACTGACCCCCAGGAGAACTCTGCATTGACCTGAGGCTGTGGAGAAGGTTTCCAAAATGGAATGACAGAACTGGGATTGTGGGTGTGGACTTTGGATAGAAGTGTGTAACATCACAGGGTGGAAAACTTAAGAGTTTAAGGTTTTAGAATATAGTAATATATGTAAGGTAAGATGGAGGTTCTAGGGCAGTAGCTGGTCCTTCTTCTTCACCTTCTTCTTGGGTGGTTTTATGCAAACGGATAAGAAGTCTGCATTGTGGGCCACGGGTGGTTGGTTATTGGATTAAAAATGAAAATAATTTAGGTGTCATTTCTTAATTGGACAGTTTATCCTTAAAAGGCCTTGTAGAGAGGGAGATAGGGCTCCATTTTTAGTTTGTTGAAGTGCTGTAGAACTCAGGGTTGGTGAGACTGTAGAATAAGAACTAATAAACATCTGAGTCCCAACAAGAAATACTGTCTTGTGCATTTAATCCTGACCTTGGCAGAAAAAAAGAAGCAAAAAATCTGCACCCACTGTGCTGTCTGCAGCATGGACAACAGAACAGAATTCTCCTTTGCTTTTAATTAGTTGGGTTTGTTGAGTTAGCTGAAACCAGAAGTTTTTTGGAACTGTTCAGCTATTGTTCAGTCTAGTAACACGAGCACTACCGTCTGGGGCACCACAAGCTACACTGCACACACCAGACTCAACCCCAGAGAGACTGAGGAAAAACTGAAGACATACAAAAATACTCTGAACTACAGAAAGACTTTCTGAATTTGCCATCTCTTCAGAACAATGAGAAGTTTTATTGTTTAGTATTATTCATTTTTCCTGTTTATGAGTACTTTGCTTGTTAAATAAACAATTTTTTTCCACTTTTCTCATGGGAAACTTATGTCTCCTAAACTGGTGGGAGGAGAGGCTGCTTAAATTTGCTTCTAAAGGGACAACTTAAAAAGTTTCCTCCTGAAATTTGCCCTAAACCAAGACAAAGGGGAACTGAGGAGTGCTGCAACTCCACACTTTCCAGTGTTACTACTTCCTATCTCTAGCATAAATATGATGCCAGAAAACACAGCAAGAAAGGGCTAAATATAATGCTTTTTCTTAGGCCCTCTGCTTTAGTAAAACTGAGGACAAGATCCAGCTATGAATGAAGATCTGAAATTTGAAATGTTGCACAGAAATGTGTATCTATATGAAAATTACAAGAAACTAAAGTCATAAAATAATTTGCTTTCGGTATTTGCAAGCAACTCTGTTCTGATTTTGCCCCCTAGAAATGGCTGCTAAGAATGGCAACCATGATTTACTTTAGGGAGAGAAGAGGGAAAGCACAGCCTTCAAGGTTTGTGCTGACAGTTAAGGAGCTGAGGGAGCAATGGAAGTGAGGTCAAAAGTTCTGAAAGGCACACAGATGTCTTTAACAGCCCTGGACTTAAAAAATACATAAGAGATAATAACAGCTTGTCTAATCAAGAAAAATCTGACCTGATAGTCTTCTTTCAATGCATTTAATTCACTTTCCATTCTAACATTCGTTTGGGTTATTCGCTGAAGCAGCTCCTGCACACACTGTAGAGAGCTGAGAATTTCCTTAGTAATACAAACAGAACAGAATATATTGAGCAAGATTTTGTTTCTGGAGTTTAAACATTAGATAATTTATGTCTTTTATAGTAATATTTTTTTAAAATTCTGTCAGTTTTTACAAAATCATGTGTGTAAAAAAAAGTACTCCAACCTCAACACTACAGAAAACTTGTAGGGAGAAATCAGAACAACACCCATTTTTCTGGCCTTTTACCTTGGAGAAGTTAACATTACTATAAACTATTATAACATTCTTTTTCAGAGAATTTTCCTATAATTAAAATTATATCCTCTCCATCTTTATACATTCTTCAATGTAAATCTAGATAAAATATATCTAATCCAAACCTCCTGTGATTTTTATTCAGGACAAACAGAATACTTTTGTCTTACCATATCACAGGTCTGAAAAATATAGAAAAACCAAAAGAAATTATTCCATAAATGGATCACCCTAACATGAAATTATTGTGTGTCTCCTGAATTAAATCCTAATACATGTGAACTACCACCCACTACCTTTGCATCATATGGTGCAGCTATATCATGTCAGGGTCTGAACTTTGGTGGTACCTTCCTCAAGACTGCATTGTTACTTCATGAAGGGGAAGTTGTAAAAGAAGAGACACCCAAAGGGAGCTGATTTGAGTTGATAAAGGTGCCATGGGTGCTACAATGAAGTGTGTTGCAGTCTGCTGGCAACTGAGCCATTTTTTATTGAACACTACAAAACACATTTCCAAAGCTTGAAAAACAGAGTGAATGACCCAGACAAGCCAATTATCACCCCCTCAAGACCACTTACAGCAGTTACTAAAAGAAGATATGCACAGAAAAAAACCCTGAGTTTTAGGCAGAAAGGAATCTTAGGTGTACTCAGTTGCTTCAAAATAAGAGAGGAACATATTATTAAAGTATTTGACATACTTGCAAAGTCTTTTCAAATTATTCTAGTTTTGGTTCTACTGTGTAAAAAGATACTGCTATTTAATAAAAATAAAATCAATATTTTAGTGTACTCTCATTCCTTTTCATGCATGTATAAATCATATTTTTTCACTGAAGGTTAATTTATTTTTAGTTCAATTTTACATCCAGAAGACTGAAGAGCTGTGGAATGGCTTTGCCAGTGCCACCCAACAGGTCAGTAGCAGAGTTGGCCACATCTTTTAAATCTAGGACAGTTTTCTCTCAAATAGACCAGACTGCTTCTCTCACACAGTTTAGTACAAATCAGCTGTAATTTAGATGGTACTTCTACCCTAAGACTAAGAACCACTGAAGCCAGCATTTCAGTTAATCAAGGTGAATTATGAGTGCTCCACAGCACAGAAATCCATGTCTTCAAACCCAAGCACTTGGAGGAAACATGAAGCTCATCTCTACATTAGAGCTCTCTCCAGACAGTACCAAACCTCTCCATGTGTCCAAACTAACCTACCAAACAAACCCTAGCAATTCACACAGAACAAGAAAGAGATGCAAACCAGAATCCTTCTCTAAGATAACACAGCAAATATGCTCCAGGAATTATGCTCCATTCATCTGCACAGAAATCCCTTTAGTGCATTCAGGGCTGGGAGAGTAATGAGGCCTGAGTCTCTCATCTTTTTCCATGTTTTTATTGGCAAGTATTTTTTAAAAGCAGGCTCAAAATGAAAGCAGATTTTTATAAATTGGAAGAGTGCTGCTGGATGAGTGCTCTATGGCCATGCCAGCAAGACTCTGCTTTTGTCCCTCCCTGGCACCAAGAATGACACACTTCTCTGACCTGTGCCCTTTTCTGAACTGTAGAGTGAAAGTTCTGCCACTGTTCAAGAAAAGGAAAAAAAAACAATCACCCCTTTAATGGTTAAGATTCTGCAAAGCAGTGTCTTACATTGTTATTACAGGGAACACAATTTTTTTTTATACTTGATTCCATAGCATTTTCTAAAAAGGATTTTTCCTGGAATATACCTGAGTTAGCAAGAGACGACAATCCTACCTCTGTTCAGGGATGTAAAGGTGTTGCTTAATAGTCTAAATGGAACATCATTTCCTTCGTGTACCATTGACACGTTATTCCCATTTCACCTGGTTTCAGTACCAGCAATGTTAGAATAAACTGCTGGCAACCAGAAAGCAGAATAGCATTTTATGCTAGCCTTACTGCTTATTTATACTGAACCCACATGTAGCCAAGTGTTTCATGGGAATATCAAATTTCTCCCATCTGAACTCAAAGTCAAAATGTAAGACTTGGAATAGAGTGTCAAATAATGGACTTTGTTCTGGTAATACTTTTTCTAAAAACTGAGCAGAAGATACAACTTAGGCCAGGATTGAAATATTTCTGAAGTGTAAACAAGTGAAATTAACTAGTTTTTGTAACTCAGTATAATAAGAAACCTAAGTACGAAATGTAGCACCTACGTTCTTAAGTGATTTTTAAGTAGTGAAGCTGTACTAACAACTCACCAGCTTTTCTTCTTTAATGTGAGTGTTTTCTTCTTGAACTTTTTTACTGACTGCTGTCTCCTTAAAAAAAGAACATGAAGAACAGTGAAAGGCATTTTAAATTAATGTCTATTTTTAAACAATATTGTATTAATGTGATATAGTGAATCATCATCAGGCTACTTAAAGAAATTGAATGATTTTTTAATGTCTTTTCACCCATTATTTTACTAAGAAATTACATTGATATTCACAGTGCATTTATTTCCCTAGAAAAGGTTATAGTGGAAATAACTGAAATATATTGTATATGCAATATAGTAGAAAGGAATCACTAATCTGTATGCATCAGAGATCATTGCTAGGAGGTTTGCTGAATGAAGCCATATTCAAATAATTCCAAAGAATAGTCACCAAAACTTTAATTTGTTTAAAATCCAAAATACCATTCTGATTTTCTGTTGCAGTTCTTGAAACTGTTTTTCCTTGACTGCAAGATTGATGTTTTCTTCTCCCACCCTGTACTGAGAGGTGACCTTGGACCTTATCAAGTCTGTAGTTACTTTCTTCAGTTCCTTAACACAGGAAACACATATAAATAGTTCATCCAGTATAGGCATTGCAATTCAAAACAGAGACAAATCTTTTAAACTGTCCTGGTCGTGCCCTACTTTGAGATAATGTATGGAAACAACAGAATAAATTACAGGTACTGAAATGTGTCAGACTGACTTATTAAACTTCAAACTTGCCACACGTGACTAAAAGTTTATTTTCACAGGTAAAATGTTATTGTGCCAATTTCACTCTGAAGTATTTACTTAATCATTTTATTATTTTCTCTTCCAAGAGGTGTATTAGAAGTGGACATTGAGTTGGTTTTGGTAAAACCAATGGGTCTTATGGGTTCTTTACCCATATCTACAATAGGAATTATTATTGTAACTATGGTGTACATTCTTGGGAATGAGGAGGGGAAAAAAAAGGAGAACAGTGATTATCTGGTAAAAACAGGAACTGGCTATAAATTTGGAGGATCTTTGCTTTTCCTGAAACATTAATTACTTAATCTCAAGAGAATGCTAAATTACTTTTATATTAGAAGGTTCTATAGCATGATGTCTTTGATTTTATAGCCTTTATCCGCTTTTAAATATCCTGCGGATTTTTTGTAGGGTTTTTTTGGGGTTTTTTTTGTATCTGTTTGGTATCAGTTATTCAGAGCTTCTAGTGCAGCAAATAAACAGCAAATGCTTTGATCTCATTAAATTACAACTTATAGTTCCTGGAGCCATAAATATTGTGCCCTGCTCTCCCCCTCCCCTCCCATCCTGGTGCAAGGTAGTCTGGTTAATATCGCTCTCTCCTTGAGCACTCTGACGTTTACTCAGACAAATAGCAGAGGTTATGAATGCTCACAGATAGCATCAAGAATTCTCCATGATGCCATAGTGGTGAACCAAGCATTCAGAATGGTCATAGTTTTATCTAACAACTAAGTTTGGTCTGTTTAACTTTTCTTCACAAAACTGGAATTTCGGTTATCACACACAGAATTATCACAGACTGGTGGTTAACTGTTCTGGACAAAATCATAGAACAGTACAAAAGAAGAAAGAAAGATTACATTGCAGCTGAAATTCACAAAATTTTATGGAAAATACAAGTATAGGTAGCACTTTTAAATAAATCATTTTTTTGCTAGAGGCTTTATTTCTCACGTATCTTAGCCATAAATTCAAAATTATCTAGTAAGTCCTAAGTGTAATTGAAGAATCAATTTCATAATTGAAGGCCAGCAATGCCTTACAATTATTCTATTTTGTAAGCTAGGTTTTCCCCATCTTCTGCAACAGAGACACATTTCAGTTGTACTGCTTTTACTAGAAGGCTCTGTCTGTAATGAACATGCTAGGAGAGCTCCTGCTGTTAAGTGGCAGAAGGTGCAAGCAACTCTAATTTTGTGCAAGTGCAAAGGTGGACCATGGCAGCCTGCACAGAGGTGCAGAAGAGGGACAGAGAGCCCAGCTCACAGGCTGGGTACCACACCAGCAGGTGCAAAAGCCTGCCACGGATCTGATGCCACCTGTTTTCCAAAAGTCAGCCTTTATAGTGTGCAGAAATAAACTTATTTTGTCATGGGGAAAGCATGAGTCGTGCCCTTGAAGCAGAAAAGGTGACTGTATTTTTTTTCATTGCAATGGCAAGTGGGTGTGTACAATCCATCTGGAAGCAAACCCAAATCTGCTAATACAAAGCTGTAGGCAGGAAAAACCAAAACCAACAAACAACCAGAACCCAATACAAACTCCCAAAAAATCCTCCACAAATGAAATTGCCAAAAATAATAGCAAAGTTTTTCATGGTGAGTGAAATCACAAGGTTTGTAGCCGCAAAAATAATTTAAAAAATAATTTTCTACACACTACATGTGTTTTATTTTACTGTGAAATTAATTAAAATGTCACCCCAGAATTTTTGCCTTTTTTTTTTTTTTTTTTTTTTCTAGAAGTTTTTTCTCATTATTAAAATTACAAGTAGCATCCAAAAATCTATAAAGTATGTTGAATGTGAAAAACAATTTTATCAGTTCTGGGGTGCATTGAGAGAGAATGATAAAGCTCTAAGCCCATTCCCCTGATCTGTTGCTAGCAGCCAATGCTTAGAGGGATATGGCTTCAAAAACACTTCATGCCAATATAAGTCAAGAGTGTCCCAAAATCCCAGTCCTGCACCTTAAACCTGCTTTCTTTCTCCAAGTTGGTCTGAGCTAAAACTTCCACTTTTTTGATTTTTTTTTTTTGTTGTTGTTTTTTTTGTTTTGGGGTGTTTGATTTGTTTTTTGTTTTTTTTTTGGTTGGTTGGTTTGTTTTATGGGGTTGTTGTTTTTTTTGGGGGGGGAGGGGTTGGGGTTTTTTTGGTTTGGTGATTTTTTTTGTAAAATCTAGTTCTGTTCAATGCAAAAAATTAATTCCACTCTCCCTTGAGGTGACACAAATACATGTTCCAGCATAAAGAAGTGGTGTTGGACTGGAAAAGCAGCCAGCACAAGCAGATGTATCCACTTCCCAAGACTGATAGCCAATGAAAACTTTACCTGTATTCAAAATTACATTTATATCCATTTGCTCTCTTCCTAGATTGCTGCAACCCTCTTGTACTCTTCTGGGTCTTGAGCAGCAGAGTTGTTTCTTAAGCAGCAAAATGACAGAAATCTTTTTCTTGGCGAGATACTAATGCAAGCACTTTCAAAGTGGTTGAAAAGAATCCTACCACACTGAGTATCAAAATGTTCAAATCTAAAAACAAATGTTACTGAAAGGAAATTTTGCCACAGTCCATTACACTAAAATTTAGGAACTGGACCTGAAGCAGGTAATATCAAGAGATGTAATTACAACCTCTTTAAATAATATTTCTTTCCTGAAACTCCAGAAGAATAAACCTGTGCAGAACAGACCTCAATTTAATTCAAGTCTACTGTTGTACATATTTAACACTTTCATAACACACTTGCAATTTCATTAAAATTGGAGATTAGCTTATTTATATCCATAAATGTTAAATAGCACTGACTTCACTAACTTCACATTCCCATTAAGAACAAGTGTGTGAGATCATCCAGGTCTGAGTGAAAGTAATGGCTGTGATAAGAGCTGACAACCGAATTAAGATTTTAGTACCATGGATAGTCATTCCCATTCCAGCACTGAGGCTACAGAGGAAAGAAGTTTGAACCCAGAAGTTGTTAGAGCTGTTAGAGGTCAGTCAAGTCTCCAAGGCAGATAAAACCAGCCTCAGAAGTTGTCCCAAGTTGTGCTGTTGATATCATGACTTCTTTCAGCTATGTAGCAAGTGAAAACAGCCTGGTAATCCCTTTTCAAAACTCTCTCCTAAATATCCCAGTTCAGATAGTTCAAAAAAGGTTGGTCAAACACTAAAAACCAATAAAAAAATTCAGAAATAACTACAATAAAGGTATTTCCTGCTGAACTGAAGAAGCTAGATTAAGTTTCAGTTGACCTCCTTTTTCTGCTTATCTAACAGTATTTTATTTAAAATTCATAACCCTTCATGACCTTAAGAATCAAGAGTGCAGCTGAAAAAAAAGAGTGGATCAAATAATATGTTTGACTGCTGGAGTACTTAAATTTCAATTTCTGTCTTACACCTATGTTACTCACAAAATTCATTATGTAAAATTTTCTTAAACATTTTGTTTTCTTACCGCTCAAATTACTTACCCTCAGAGACTGTTAAGTAATTAATTATTATTGGTTTTGCACCAAAAGCAACAAATCCAATTTACTGTGATGCTGAAACACTTCTGAAACACCTCACTTTTTTATTTACATTATACTAAAATAAAGACATGTTGCATTTTAAATGAACACTCCTGCTTCTGTCACATGCAAATCATTTCCCTTTTTTAAAAGGAATTACACAGTTGGACTGTGCACAATGCACAGACAAAGCTGCTCTCAGATCTTCAGAGTTATGATTATATCAGCATCCTAACAAACATGGTTCTCCTATGAGGAAAGTTATCACCACTGACACCTTCCAATATTTTTTCTGTTCTCTTCCATCCATCCAATATTCCAGATAAATATATACAGTTTTTATATCTAACCTATCATTTGAATTATGTAGCTAAATAAACATTTTTAAATATTGTAAGACCTAATTGTGATATAGAAATTAATTTGAGAATTTTTCCAGAATTCTGCTTTACTCTTACTGTGGATTTCAATCTGCTTTCCTGATGGCAAGAGTTCTGAAATCTTTGATTACTTCAAAACTTGATCTTTTTGACACTGAGGTTTGGCATGTTACATTCTAGTATGTATGTAAAAAATCCAAATTGAATTCCTGATTAATTTTTACTGTGGCTACAATATCTCTATGAAAATATATCAAATATGATAATTAAGTAAAGCACTAAAAAAGGTAAGAATGAAACAAATTTTTTAAAATCTCAAAATGTCTATATTTCAAGATAAAGTCTGGCTTTTAGTGGAACCACACTTCAAAGAACTTTAACAATAAGAGGCTACATGCTCTTAAGAAGAAAAGAAACAACAGTAGATTAAGGGAGAATTTTCAAGTACTTTTGTGCTTTCAAATCCCATTTTTCAGGCAAAGAAAGGTAAACAGGTAAACATCCATTTTTTGATCAATATAACCCAAATATAAAATGGTCATAGTCCCTTTTCCTCATGTACAAATTATCTTTGCCCCTGCCCTTTTTTGTTTTCAAAAACATTCACAAACTTGGCAAAGTTTGGTAATTCAAAGCAATCATCTGGAAATTGGGGATTAACATTAGTCCAAGAAGTTGAGATAAACATGCTTTTGATCCCTACATAAAATCATTACAGAATCTAAAGGAGAAAATAAATTTAAAGGATGGAAATAAAAAGATAAGGAGATATAAAGAAGAGATGTGGTGTGGAAAGGTATTGAGTTTACAGAACAAGTCTGATTTTTGAATGCCCTTTTGTTTTTCTCTTAAGAAAAACAAAAATAAAAGCTTGTTTAGCTCTTAAGAAACAGCTCAAAGGGAAAAGAATGTAATCTTCCCACTATTGCCTATGTTCAAGAGTGCAACTCAAAAACGTACTTGGCAAAGAGGAATTTCTGAATAGAGGCAGGAGAAAGGAGCTTAGTGACAACTTCCTTGTCAACAGAATTGCCATAACCTGATGTCTCAGCTGCCTTGTCACAAAACTCTCCCAGTTCAGGGATTCAGCTACACATTTTACCCTGTGTTCAAGCTACCAGCTTGCCTCCATGGCAAATGCACTTCATGCTGTACTTCTGACCCACTGAAAACACCACTGCTACCTTCCCCACAGATGGAGAAGAGATGGCAGCACAGCACAGGAAGAAGAGAGGTTACTAATAATTAGCAAGAAACAAGGAGGATGCTGTAGAGGTAAATAAAAATTCACAGGTTACAGAAAATTCTCAGAGCTGCTCCAGTTTTAACTGAGGTGTCTGTGGAAGATAATTTAGCCATCAGTCATAGCATGAAAAACAGTTCTGCTGCTTGTCCACCACTTCTGTTAACACATCAGCAGCTTTTGGAAGGCCCAAAGAATCACAGCATATTCTGAGTTGGAAGGGACACACAGAAATCATTCTCCATTCAGAAATGTGCACTGTACTTACTTCTTTCAGATTGCTTATTTCAGTCTCTTGTCTTTTATTCACTGATGCTAATTTCTTATTGTGCTGTATGGCTTCCTGCACTTTAAAAAAAAAAGTTAAAGCATGTTAACAAATATTTTCATATTTCAACAAATGTTTGATTTCTAACTTCAATATATGTGCATATAATTTATTTTAAAAAACAAACCTAAAACTGAAAATATGATTCAACTACTTTTTCTGTGTAGTTTGATACCACTCTGGAGGACTATACCAGGTAGTACCAGTTGTCTGTACCTCAAACAGTGAGTTAAGACTTCTGTATGTTGGCTTGCCTTTTATAACTGTAATTTCATTTTTAGTGTCTTAGGATGTCATTTTAGTAGGAATTTTAATCTTGGTTTTATTTTTTAAAGCTTTTCTTGTAATTTTCTAATTAATTTAGTTATTTTCAGACTAACACAGAATATAATGGACCACAGAACATATTAATAACTGAGTTACCAGATGTATAGCGTTATATGCATATAGGCCATGGAAGACAGAAAACCAGCAGAGGCTAGCACACCAAAATTTCTAAGAATTACTTCTATTCCTGCTGAAAGGGAAGGGAATTTTCTCTTAGACTTTATACAGGTTGTGGTAGGTGACTTAAGAGAAGTTCCCCCGGACATGCCATGGGAGGAGACTGTGGTATAGATGCCCGCCTCCCAGGATGTCCGTCAAAACCCACCACTCCCCCCAAGTTAGGTAATTAACAGTTATTCCCACCTTCTGGTTATGTCAATCACCCATTTGTACTTACCCTTGTTCTGGAAGGTTCTTAAGTTCTTTGACTATAATTGGTTCTTCCCCGGTTACCACCCCCTTCCCTCATCCTCATTTGTTGCATCCCTATCACCCCATCCTAACTCCTCCTCCGAACCCTTTTCCTATTGGACCCTTTGTATCTTGCCCCTCCTACTCTGCACCTGGTTATAAACCCTACCCCGGCCCTTACTCGGGGCTCTCTTCGATCCTGCTCCCTTGCTGTGTGATCGGGTCGCAGATCCCAGCTGACACCCAGCCCTCAGTGAAATAAAGCAGCTTGAAGGAGTCATTCCACCTGGTACGAGCCTTGTTTATACACCATCGTAGAGGAGCTGCTAGCGGAGTTCTCCAATATTAGGAGATCTCGCAAGGTGGAACTCTACAACAGGTGAAGATATCACCGGGAAACTGCTTGAAATTCCACAATGAAAAGCTGAAGATATTTACTGGTTCCTGTACTTTTTCAGACAGTTCTATTCAGTCTTTGTATTTTGATCCTCTCAGGTTCCCCTTCATCCTTTTCTGATTCCTCTTCGTTCACCCCTAATCTTTTTTCTTTACCTTCCTCAGTAGTTTTCTGGCACCACACTTGAACACAAGAACTGTAGACCCCCCAGAACGTCCTCTCCTTTTCTGCTAGAGATGGTGCAGAAAAGGAATGATGGACAACAGGGGAATGATGGACAATAGCCTTACAATACCATAAGCAGTTTTGCCGTTTTGAATAAGAATAGGTGCTTAAAAAATACTAATACAACTTAGGAAAACCTCCCAGAACAACAAGTAGGCTAAAACTGGTAAAACTCACTTTCAACAAAGTCATGTGCTCACTCTCCAGCTTTGAAGTACAATCAGCAGAACATTGGTTGGCCAACAGTGTTCTGGATTTTAAATTTTAAAAACTGAACACAAGAAGTAACTTGAGGTACTGAAATACCACAAATATATATAGAATATTTTACCAGTTCATTGAAACTAGATTTGAAAAAAAAAAAAATGTTTTCAGGCAGAAATAAAAAATTTAGTTAGATTCAGTAATTGAAAAGTTGGGTTTTTTTTGTATTTTGGGAATTTTTTTTTTAATTTGATAGTTCCTCAATAGAATTTCTTGTGTATCACACACACCACTGTAGCAATGGATAAGCAAAGAGCACTGTGGAATCTACGAAGATATTTGATGCTTGGCATGGGGTAGCTCCTATTTTTCTGAGTTTACAAGTGTCTCCAACTCAGTGTTGTCAAAACACAGCAAAGCCAAGTGCTGGAAGGCATTTAAGACATACATACCACTGTGCTCTAGTTTGCCATGAACACCTTTCACAATTCCAAACCGAGATGCAATAGTAGCGTAACACCTCTCAACTTCATTCAGTTTCTTATGATGCTCCTCTTTTGCTGTTAAGTGCATCTGCAATTTTTGATCCTGTTAGGAACATAAACCAAGCACCCATTTACTGACAGTTAGGTAGCTCTCCAAGTACTTTTGAATTTAACAGCATGAACGCAAAATAATTCCCAGAATTTTTCATTTGTCTATTTCATATCTAATGAACTTTCCCATCTCCAAATAGCAGGAAGAGAGACCAAGTCATCATGATAATCAAAGGATGTGAGCATCTGACATTTGGGGAGAGGCTGAGGGACCTGTGACTGTTCAGCCTGGAGAGGAGCTGATAAACCTGTACATACCAGAGGAGGGGTGCGTGTGAAAGGAATAAACAAACCACAGCCAGGCTCCTTTTAGTGGTGCTCACTGACACTAAGTGAAACAAAACAAATTTTACTTAAACTTGAGGGGAGAAACATTTATTGTCAGGGTGGGCAAACACTGGAACAGGTTGCACAGGCAGGCTACAGAATCTATCTATGGAGATACTAAAACTAATAGGACATGGCTCTGTGACACTGGCTCCACTGACCCTGCTCCGAGCCTCCACAAGAGACTCCTGACAGCTTCAACCATTCCAGTCCCAGGCTTGCAGAAAATGACACAGCCAAGGGCAATTAGGATTGTATGTGTATGCCAAGGGCATGCACAAACTATGACACACCTAAAGAAAAGAATTTCAACACACTTGCTAAAAATCAGAAGTACATCGACTACTTCTAGAGTAGAGGTGACTTTGATTTATACTAGTGAGACTAATGCACATTAACACTCCATGCTTCCCAGAAAAATATTAATAACCTTTCAGTGAGTAATTCTTAATTCCTAAATATCAATTAGCTGTTCTAGTATCTTGAAATATGATTAAATCACTTTGTGTATCTAACTACTTTTGTAAGCATCTAACACTTTATTTTACTTTTATTCACATTGGCCTAAGTAATACCACAATGAAAAACATGTGGTAATTAAGTACAATATATCTAATTAATTTTACCAATCTCTCATTTTGTGGAAACTGTTCAGTGACATTTTTTTTTGTTATCATGGTAACACTAAGATTTTTGTGTTCTTCTTTATACTGTATTTTTGTTAACAGTTTTGTAGGTACTATGTGGTGAATTTTAAAATTAATTTTTCTGAAGAGAATGGGTTAAATTAATTCCTCAGAAAGGATAACCATTTATTTAGATATCTAATCTACTTCTAATCTACAGTAGAGCGACACAGCAATTAAAATGAACTGGGCCAAATTCATTCCTGTGTGTAAATTCAAGTTACACCAGGATGCATCTGGCCCAGTCTGTTTGGCTTTGGCAAGGCTCCATTTCCACACAGTAACAAATGCAATACATGTCCAGGCATCAGAGGATAATAAAAGCTGATAGTAATCAAATGAAATGACCACCATAAGACTAGCAAAACAGGATATACAATACAAATTTCTCATGTTTTATAAGGTATGAAATTAAACACACTACAGCAAATGGAAAGTCCTAATGGAAGCACTGGTAAAAAAACACCACACTTACAGAAATCACTGCAAGGAATGTAGGTTGAAAATGTTCTTATACTTTCTCTTTTTCCTAATCATAAATTAACTGTTGAGGATCTGTGCTTAACTAATGCCAGGAGGGAAATTTTATAACAAAAACATTAAAAGGAAAGGTTTTCTTTGTTTTTCCTGGTAGTTCCCTCAGGTATATTTATTTTAAAGAGGCAGATGAACAGGAAGACAGCCCTAATTTGAGACTTGAATGGCTTGTGGTAAGATCAGAAGTGTTTTGCAGATTTTATTATGGATTTTTTCTTAGTGTTATCCCAATTCCTTTCTTTAGTCAGCAAGATAGTGTTAGTCCCTCCTCTCTCAAGAAGTTGAAATATTCAACCTCACAGGACTCCTTCCATGGAAAAAAGGAACTGGCCTGCTCTATCTGCAAGAGTTTTATTAAGAGCTTAACACTTGCCTAAATATTGTTGTTGATGGCAGGCTGCTCTCCAGGCTTAATGTACAGAGAAATAAAAGCCTGAGTATGTGATTTGTCTCCTCCCAGTGAAAAGGTTGTAAAACATTCTTTCATAGAAGCCAATCAAGAAACACCAGGAGACACTGCAGGATAGGGAGTGGATGACCCTGGAGCTGGAGTGAGACCCACAGAATCTTGGTTCTTCTTCCTTATGTCTGATACTACAAGAACAGGAATTATTGCCCTGCCCTCCACCAGTAATAAAGATAAGCTGGGATGGGGAGTGGAATTGATTGTGGCCATATGGCTTGTTGAGGCACAATGATTTCTTGGTGGAACCAGAGCTGAGAAATAGCTCAGGGTCAAGTGGGTGACTGGAGAAACACAAAGAGGGAATGGCCCATATCTCAAAGATATTCTGGAAATGGAGTCACTAGTCAGAGGTACTCAGTGAAGCAGAAGGTGGTAACTGGGAGGTGAAAGTGTCAGAGAAACAAATGAGATGTAATAGCATGGAGACCCATGGCAAGATCACAGAAAAATTAGGCAAAGGACTACCAACTGTAGCTCTTTGAAACAGGAATTATTTTCACAACAGTTCCTCCAGTACTAACCATTTTTCTACTTAAAAATAATTGGGTTGACTTTATACTATATCACTGCCTCCTCATTGTGTTTGTAAACAATATAATATGATTACAGACAAATTCCTAAAAGACACAGACAGGAAACAAAACCATTCCTATTTTAGATTACTACGAACAAACCAACTTTTAAAGTTTATTTAACATTTTGCAAGAATACCTTTTTCATTCATTTGACAACTACACCTGTATTAGAAAACTAAATGGTGGCAGGGAAGTTCTCAGGAAATGCTGTCCTGTTTTTAAAATACCCCTGACACACTTTGGCCTGTGCCAAGTAGGACACATGTAAGCAGTTCCTGAGCACAGTTCAGGTGGGAACACAGTTCCCTGTCTGCTGGGAACAATGTGGGTTATTTGGATCTAAATTCCCTCTTTTCTGTGGTTTAGTCAACCTAGACCAACTGACTGCAGCTTCACTCAATGGTTTCACATACATTTAGTTTCCAATAAAAACAGTAAGGGAAGACAAGAACAGACTCACATGCAGAGAGTCCTGGTATTCTCCAGTCTGCCAGGAAACCAACACCTGACCATTTGCCTCCAATTACTTCCTAATTTCAGCAGCAGGAAAACAAATACAATACAGAGCTCACACTCAAGTGTATTCTATCAACTGAACTGGCTTTGTAGTAATCCCTCCTGATTGCATGAATGCTACTGTCCATTTGCAGTGAGGTCCAAAACAACTGCACTGCATGATCAACACTTTTATTGTGGGGAGGAAAAAGACAGTAATAAAGACAAATAAATAATAAAAGACAAAAATATTCCTTTATTTGTTTGTCTCTATACTGTCCTTCAGTACAAACCAAAACCTTCCACTATTTCAAAATTATAGCATATATGGTAAGAATTGTATCAGCACTACAATTTTTTTGCATAAACTTAAATGGACAGCATGCTAAAACACAGTGTTTATGTCAAGTTTTAACACGGCATATACTATTCTGAAAGAACAGAATTAAAGGAACAAAAACAGAATAAAAAGCTACATCAGTAAGACACACCCAGTCCCCAGCACACACAGAAGCTCCTTCACTGACTGGCAAGGTTTCTAAGGTGCCAGATATAAACTGAGCAGCACATCTGCTTACTCTCAAAACGCCACACCAGAGAATAATCTAATCTGTCCTTAACAAAATTGAAATAGAAATGGGTCTCAGACAAATGATTGGTTCAGAATTTCATCCATTTGATTTTTAAACATTTTGGTATTGGTGATGAGCAAACCTTGAATGTACCACTTATTTCAGTGCAACCACTCAGAAACTAAAGTTGTTAGAATCTGACCTGGTCTGAAACTGCATTAGCACACTACTGCAAAAGGTTATAGGAAAAAAATCACTTTTGTTTACCTTGTGGGGTATTTTGTTTTCATCATTTCATATCAGTGCATTTTCCCTAAGTAAGTCCCAGCTGTATGTGTTCTGTTTAGTGCTAAATTCAAAAGAGGATTTCCAACATTGTGTCTCCACTCAATAGCATTTTAAGTTACCATACTCTGTATCAAAGCAAATGCTTTCAAAATATTCAAATGATCAATTAATGAAAAGTTTATGAACACAAGAAATATATTTGTTTAAGCAGCATAGATGCCTTTCCAGCTTACAGAAAAGGTCTTGTCCTTTTAAATATTCTCATGCACATGGAAGACTGAGCTTGTAAGTTATGAAAGAAAGATAATATGTAAAATGACCTAAATGAAAGTCCAATTATTCTGTATGTTTTCAACACGTTTTTAGATCAGCTGCATTTTAGGAATAAGTACAAGTTAAAAGTGAAGTAAGACAAAACACATTTTATGTTGCCTTTGATCTTTAACTTGTAGCCTTATCTCCCAGGTCAGAGGGCACATTATTCAATTTCACCATATTTTGTGTAAAACCACTGTAGCGTTGAAGATGACTTTCAGTACAAATGTCATGGTACTTAAAGCTAAACTGGACTCTAGTTTTTTGAGCTTCTTAATTAAAATCACAGTTTGTAATGGTCTGACAATATTATCTTTATTCTTTCCAGTTGAGCAGCAGCAGAATTTTCACAGCATTTATTCAATCAAGCCTAGCAATGTTTCTGTGGCTCACTCTTTCACTTCCTAAAACAGACAACAGGGTTCAGAGCCACTATGCTGTCACTTGGGTAAATTTATTCCCTGTGTCAAAGGGAGTGAGCTGCACTGGATAAAATCTAAACTGTTCAGGCAAACTGATGTTAAGAACTATTTCTAAGAAGTAAAAAAGAGTGAGAAGAAAACCACCAGTTTTTCTTAAAAACAAAACCAAGACCTACTAGGAATTCTCTATTACTTTTTGATATTATTATCCAGATTCTATCAGAGTAATAAAATTACTCTGATAGAATCTGTAAATGAAAGTCTATTAAAAATCTTTAATCAATAAAGAGAACAAATACACCAGTTCTACTTTAATTCAGTGAGGAAAAAATACCACATGCTGAACAGTAGCTATCACACTATAAAAACCTAAAACCATTGCATTTGTAAGATTTTCAGATCTTAAGCTGATACCTCTTTGTGTTACTTGTAATAATTATTATATATCATTTAAGTATCAAAGCCAGTTAGTAGTGGATTATACCCTAAGCATACTGTTTTTATTAAAGCTCTTCCTTCTTTTGTTTACTTTCATGATTTTCTTACCATTTCATTCAGTTTCTTTTGTAAAGTATATTTTGAAATCTGTAAAACAACAGAGAGTTATTCATTAAATGGTACTTACATTTTTTTCTGACAACAACCTGAATAATTAAGTATTGTTATACCAAGGATTTAATTGCACTTGCTATTAAAATCCATCCAATATAGTAACACTGGTTTTGAATTAATGATGGCACAATTTAATGTATTATTAGATTCACTTTACTTCATAATGTTACTTCAATACTTAAATTATGTAAAATCACTTTACACTGAGTTGTTAGTAGAGGAGTTTTGAAAAAGTGCTTAAATCCTTGTGTTTTCTGACAGCCATCATAAAAACAACGTGCAAATGGACCACAGTCTGTAAACTAGACCCTTAGACGTAAATAGAGAAGACAAAGACAGAAATAAATGTGTTCCCTCAATTCCTACAGGAATAGAAGTGTATTCCCTGTTGGAAAAACCCCACAGTATCTTAGTTGATAGTCGAAATGGTAACAAAAAAGATATAATGGACCAATCTCACAAGCTTTAATAATATAAGGCTGACATTAAAAGATATTAACACTATTTAATACCCCACTGACAGAGTATTTTGATTTGCATAATGCTTAAGTATAAGAGGGAAAAACAGAGTAATGTTAAAGAACCTAGAGTGTACAAATCTTATACAGAAAATATTACTTCTAGGAAAAAACCTAGAGAACAATCATTTTAAGGTAAGGTTCTGACTCTACAAAGAGGAATACAGAATTGAATTTAAAATTCTTCATTTTTGTATTAGGCTTGTATTTATATAAATTCTTCACTCTTGTATTTCCAAACAATTCCCCTGGGACTACATGTCCATTGTGACCCCCTGCTTCCTCAGGCCACAGCAGAATTTCCTAGATCTGAACTGTACTGTGACACAAATGCTTGATGCTTGATTCAATATTTAGGATTTTTTTTTTTAATTTGTGGTTTATCTTTGAAAATAAAGGCCAGTGGGATCTTTCATTACTCTTGCTGTTCACATATTATGTTCAGTAGACCATGGAGGGATGGATATTCTGTATCATCTGTACTATACCAAGGTTTGAGCAAGGCAACAAAATCCTTACAGCTATTGCTCAGAAGGCCAGCCATGAGAATCAGCTTCTTTTGCTCCTAAAATACATTCAGTGTTGACTAAATGATAAAACAAACAGACTGCTACCAAGTAAATGCATTCCATTGTCAGAGAATATTAATAAGAACCAACCTAAGTTTTAAAATCATAGCTATAATCCAATATAGTAATTTTGTTTTCAATAGAATTATTATCCCGCTCAGTTTTGGGTAGAAAAATAATTAGCTCCTGCTAATACCTGAAATCTGACAATGCATTGCAATGCTAGTGATCCATTCTCAACATATCTGCTTTGGTCTTAAGCCATGGATCAAGTGTAAGTACAGAAACCTCCCAGTGAAACACAGAAAAACACTGAAAAACACAGGAAGCACTGCAAGCTGGGGGCCCAGTGTGAATATTTAGTTCTGTTTAGCAGTCCAAAACCAGGGATTCCAGGCAGGTGTGAAGTTAGAAAACAAGAATATGAATAAAGAGGAAGACTGTGGAAATTAAAAGAAAGAACATTTCACACACTGTTTGAACTTTTGAGTCTTCTGGAGGAAAATAACATTAGCTGGAAGGTTAACTTAAAGTAGTCTTGACACTGAATATGGGAACAGAAACTCAGTGTTACAAAGTGAGTAGTCCTAGGAAGATTACACAATAAGACCTTAAAGCTCCTCTTAAAACCCACAATTTTCTTACTAGTATAAAACTAAAACCAAAACACTTGCATTCAAAGAAATGTTATTTTACAAAAGCAATAGTTTACCTGTAATGCTTTTAATGTTTCTTTCAGTCCATCAATTTCTTTTTCTTTTGTTTCTACAGCAAGTTGGTATTTTCCCTTTCAACAAAAGCTGTACTTCAGCATTTGGGCAGAATAAATGCATTTACAATAAGAATTTATCAAAAAGAATGTTACGAAAATAAAGTGTTACTCCGCTACAACAGAACAATTCACTGGTGAATAATTCACCTAAATAATTTTAAAATGTAGATAAATATTGCTATAAAAAGAAAAGTGAAAACCCAATAGTGTATTTTCACCACTTATGACTCTATTCATCAAGTCATAAAATTGGCTGTTCCAGGAGAGACAAACCTGACAAAGGCAGAACAAATACATTATTTAGAAGAAAGATAGTAAATTTTAAAACAAAAGGTACCAGGTAAATCCATTTTTTTATGTGCAATAGCGGGATCTTCATAGAAACAATCTGCACATTTTTCCCCAGTCCACAAAGAAAGAACTGTAACCTGCTATTGCTAGAATCACTAAATACATGCAAGCACATTTTATATGGATATAGATATATATGTATATGTGTGTGTGTGTATGCATATATAGACAAACATACAGAATTTGCACATGAGAAAGTCAAAGGACTTCAGCAGAATTAAATTTGGTAAGAGTCCCTGGCTGCAGTCAATCTAATGCAGAACAGAATTGAAATACCAGAGAATATGACAGAAAACACAAATAAATCCATTCAATCACCCCTGCATGTTCCAGTCATTTCCAACATAGTGCTGGCTGTGCAATCTCCCAAAACCACCCTGATCACTCACAGTACATATCATCTAAATTGGTGCAAAAATTGTTTTTTCAACTCTGTCTTGAGCTTAATTTACTCTTTTGGTTACTTTGGTATAAAGTACTGAAAGTACTCTTCAACTAAATGGAAACAGAAGTAAAAATTAATCAGCATACAATTTAATTCTGAAGCTATCACTGAAAAATACAAATCAGAGAATAGTAAGTGGGTTATGTGTCACCAAATGAATTGTCTTAACAAGAAAAATTTCTAAACCCCCAATCAAATTACTCAGCCAGAAAATATAAAATAAATAGCAATAAATATCAATGAAGCAAACAAAAAAGTTTATTTTTATATACTTTCAATCCATTTAACTGGTTTACAAATTTCTTATGCCACACCCATTATATTCATCTGCTCTAAACCACTGGGAAATTTAAATGAAATAATAGAGGCCACATGCAGACATTCACTGACTTCACTGTTTAAAACAGGTTCATTGTACACCAAATGTAAATCCTTCATTCAGAGGAGGAACTGGGCATTCAGTCTGGTATAAAAACCTATGTAGCTAACAAAATCCAGATAAATTCAGGCTAAAATTTATCTTATTTTAGTTTAGGACAAGTACCTTAGGAAACCAGTTCAGCTAAATCAATAAAACCCTATTAAAATCTGATTTCTCTAAGGCAGTTAGAAATGTTATTTTTCAGTACTACTTGTAAAGGCCAATTGTCCCAATTTATCTCAACCTTCTAGAACAAAATAAATTTTGTATAGCTGCAATATGGAACTATCAAAGAACACTCTTTCCGCAACTGATTTTTAGCATAAGCAGTAACACTTCACAAGTTCTACAGTCTATAAACAAAAAAAAACCCCAAAAATAACGAAGTTACAAAGACATTTCTTTTGCAAAGGCCACAGCAAAAAACATAATGTAATTGCAATCTACTTAGTTTATACTTAAGATATATTTGGTAAGTTTTATATTATTATCATTTGCTTATGCTCTTCTTTGGATGGCAAACAACAAATAATTGTACAGTACCTTTTCTTCTTCCATGGCAAACATCCTTGCCTGTAACTTGGTTGTTAGTCACATAAAAACCAAAACAAACAAAAAAATCAGAACAGCACGTGGCAATAATTTCATCCATGCAATTCAACAAGACAATATAATTATATTAACCTGCACTATATACTTCCTGTGTTTTTTTTAACTATAGGAACTTGTAGAGTTATAAGGAGAAGTCTGTGATTCTCAAATTATTTTTCCAGGGGAGAAACCTAATTGCTTGTCAGTTTTTTGGCTTTTTTTTTTTTTTTTTTTTTTTTTTTTTTTTTTTTTTTTTTTTTTTCTGTTTGACATGATTGTGATGCAGCATTAATGACAAATTCTTCATCACCATGGGCAACAGTTTCAGTTCCTATGAACATTCTCTGCAAGGTGTCTCAGCTCTTGTGTTTGCTCACTGTAATATGGAGAATAAAACACAAGAATGAAATACACTTTCAAATGTTGAGCAGGATAATTTACCATGGTTTATGAATCTACCCTTGCAGAGGTCATGCTAAATTAGAGGGGAGAAACCAAACAAGCAAAACAATGTAAGGAAAGTATTAGAAGAAGCATTATTTTCTCTAGGAGATTTTTGAAATATAAAAATGAAAAATGCCAGGAGGAGGGGCGTCTGGAAAGAACTGCTAAAATACAAGCATAATGGTGTGGCCAGAAGAAAGGACGTGGTTTTTGTTTTTTTTTTTAGTTGTGTATTCTAACATTTTATACGCAACAGAAAAATATTTTCCTACCAACTGATTACTTGCTATGATGCCATCATATTTTAAAACCCCACTGTCAAAAGCAAAGGCTTTTCTTTGTTACCTGCTTTTTAAAAGCTGTCATAGCTTCTTTGTTCTGTTGTTGCAGTGTGTCAGTCTGATGCTGCAGAGTTTCCTGCTCATGTGAAGTAACAACAGTGTGAGTTAAGTATTATCTTAGAGCAAATTACATATAAAGTATTTCAAGAAAAGGCTGACTTATTAAATGTTTTTTAGAAAGACACAATTTACTAAAAAACCCTGAAGACTAAAAGGATGCATTTTTTAACTGCTACTTGTCTTTTTGGTAGCAGCTTCTCTTTCATTCTTAATGGGTAACAATTCTCCCATCTGGAATACAGACCTTTTTCTAGGACTTCTGTAAGCAACTCCTACCCATCCAATCAGCCTGCAGAAACATCCACATCCCCTGCCAGTTTAAGACTGAATCTTGACACTGGTCCAGGAAGATACACCAGAATTTTAATTGAAAATTAAAATTGAGAATCCAATTGAAAAATAACTATCTGCTATTCTGTTTATAGTAAAATTTTTGTCATTTAACAAGCTACCTGAAAGAGCCAAAGGAAGCCAGAAATAACTAAGCGTAAGGCAATAGTATGAGATTTTTATCACCCTCCAGCCTGGCTTTACTCTCATCCATAAAATCAAGAAAATGAGTGAAGATGTACTTTTTTTTTGCATTATTATTTCATGTCATAATCTCATAGGTTAATATTATACTCTACAAGATGGAAATCTCCAACATCTTTAAGCATCATGCTTCTCTATATGATACTTCACCTTTGCCATGGAATACCAGGTTTTTTCAGTTCTAAACACTGAAATATTAGGTAAAACTAGTTAAGAGGCTCTGTCCTTGAACAGTTATCTCAAAATGTAGATGAATGTTTAGCTTATAAATATTAGTGTGAGGCAGGAAACAATCCACTAATGACTGCACAAAAATAAATATAAATTAGACTATTAAAAAGAATTAATGGGAGAAAACAAATTGAAAATCTATTTCACACACAAGGAGCCAAATGTCTTCTTCTGCCTTAATAGAAATTGAGAGTTTTTAAACATACAGTCTCTTCCAAAATTGCTGTTTTCTCCAGCAAGTTGGTGTTGCTTTCACATTGTACAAGCGAGAGCTGTTGCCTTTTGAGAGAAGACAAGAAGCCATGGAGATAAGGTGTTCCATATCCATTTACCTAATACCTCATCATAAGATGAGTAGAGAAAGTTTTGATTTGTGTGTAACAAACAATGCCCAGTACATAAATGAATATTCAGAAGTATATAAATGCCCTGAGGAATGTTTTTCTGAGGCTGTCCCTCAGCCCTGTGTCCAAGGACAGGTTCTCCAGGGGGTGACAGGCGTGTGAAGTACACTAGCAAGGCAGAGGCAGTACTGCAGGAACAAAAAATCAAATATTCCCACTTCAGTACTCCTGCTCACCACAGGAATAAAATTTTATATCCACAGCACTGCCAAATTAAGGTGGCACTATAAAATACGGGAATTCAAGGCAATATCATGGAGTAAATTATGTAGGTATCAGTTTGGTTTCATTAAACAGTCAGCTTTTATATAACTTTATCACAGATGTAGTGGAAAAAAACCCCAATGCTGAACTATTTATAACATACCATTTCCTTGTACCTTATATTCAAGTAAGGTATTTTATTTTCAAAAAGACAGGGGAGTGTCTACAAATATTCATTTTCTAACAAGCCTCACACACAAGACTATTGGATAAAATTATTCTATTATTTCTGTCAGAAATTCAGGCTTGGAAGAAATTTTCCATATATGTGTGACTGAAGACTGAAGAAAAAAGCAGGTTGTTTTTTTTTTAAATATGAACAAAATTGACTTTGATATTGTAATGTTTCACAAGTTTGAGTATACTCACTAGATTTAAAGGAATATATTCTCTAGTTATTCTATTTTCCTTGCTTGTGTGTATTTATTTAAGAGCAGCAGCAGCAGTATATTTATAAAAGGTAGACAAGTTGTACTACTGTGATATGACTTAGCTGAAGTAATGTCTTTATTTCAAACTGGATAGTTAAATTTAATTAAAATAAAATGAATGACAGAAATGTTGACTGAAAGGGAAATCTATGAAGGAAATGGAAAAACAGAACCTTTGATAAACCAGAGGAAGATGTCTACTTATTGAACTACTGCTGTGGTTAATATGATTCTACATTGAGAAACAATCGGGTCTTAAATTCAATTTAAATGTCATACTTAGAATTTTCATCTTACTGGAGTCTCCAGGACTGGAAATTTGTATTAGCTTGTTAATTTGAAGTTCCAGAATATTTGCTCACGTCAAGCTCCCAAAATCTACCACTCAATTGCTTACACCAGCTTTGCCATGCGCCAATGTTAAGTACAAAGTACAGGAACAGAGTTCACCTCACTACCTGTAGGTCCCATCCTTTTATGAGTGGTAAATTAAATTGCTGTTAAGGTCTTAGAATGGGTGGAAATCCTCCCTTTTGAACCCAGAATATTAGGCACTGCAATGCTAGGTTAAGAAAAGCAAAGAAGGGTTACAAATTGAAAGCACTCTTGCTTTTACAAATATAAAATGTTTCCTGTTTCTGTGTGCACATATATATCTTTCAAGAAAGAAAAGCAGAGAGTTAGGATTATTAATTTAAGATGGTTAGGATGAACTCCAAGAAGAAATAGCCTTCTTTTACAAGTAAGATGTTAAATATCCCAAGATCAAGGATAGAGCTGAAATTATTGTTTTTTCTGCGGTCGTAAAATATACGGAGTGAAGCCTTTTATCTTGTGCCCTAGTGACAGGGGTCATAGGTTTGATTGTATTAAAGAAGGGAATGCATTTCCTAGGAAAGCATAACCTCAGGAGCCCTAACTCTGAGAAGAATGTTACACTGAAGAATGTTACTGAATACTTCATTCCCAGCATTTAAAAGTTGACAAACTTCTGAGTAGAGATAACATACAAGTTAATGCTCAAAGTAACTTTCTGGAAAAATTAGCACTTCCAAAAGATTGCAAGTGAAGTTGTTTGTTGCACTGATATTTGCACTTGCCAAAGCCAAGCATAATACAGAGAAGCTGCTACACAGGTTCTCCCACACCAATGTGTCAACAAGCCTCAGATTCAGCTAAATGTCTTATTTCTTCAGTATTTCCATCTCTTTTGACTGAAGTTTCCAAGTCATGCCAAATATTATTATAACTCTCTTGTTAAAAACATTTCTAAGCTGGGCACAATCCAAATCAAAAGAAAAGCTACAGATGTTCATGACTAAATAATAAGCTATTGGCTAGCACATTCTACTATTTAAATAAAAATAGATCTAAAAGAGGAATTGTAACAAATCCCAATTTATATTAACATATAAAAATTAAATCTCAGCAGGTAAAACACTAAAAGCACACAGGAAAGTTACCTTCTGCCATTCAAGTTCTTGTTTCTCTATAACAATTTTGTTTATTTGGTCTTCATAATTAGTTTCTGTTTCCTAGTTAAAAACAAACATAAAAAAGTCAAAACACTGAGATGAAGAGAAATTCAGTAAGATGCAAAAGTGCTTCAAGAATTCATTGTAGTCAAAGATATAGATAATCATAATTAATGACTCTGAATCTTTGGGGCATCTTAAAAATTCAGCTCAAAACATTTGAATCTTTATTCTTTGTGACATCTCCTAGGACAACTTAAAAATTTTTGTCAGTGGTTATTGCTGTTATTATGGAAAAAAGTGAAATATTTATCATTATCTTCTGTGCCAAGAAGCCTTCTGACCTACCAAAAGAAATTGAAACAGAATCATGGATAATCAACACATATTTCTGATGAGCTACTAGAAAATCTGAGAAGACCATTACTGAAGTCCAAAGCTTCCTCCATGATCCACAAAAGGTACTAATAGAACAAAGGTGTGTTACAGATCCTGTTCTTGCAGAAGCATTTTGTCAAGAATCAAACTATTACTTTTGATAACAAATGAGAGTTACCTTCTGAAAATCGCAGTTCCTAAGTATTTATGTGAATTTTCTTAAAACATTCTGTTATTAAAGTTAATTTTTCCCAACAGGAATCGACTTCCCTTTGGAGTCCAATTTTTATGAGCACTGGCCTTCCTTAACACATCCACTACTCAAAAAAAAAACAGGAAGAACAAAAAGCTCCCCTATTAACAGTCATGATTTCCTGCAAGAACAATACTCAGGTTTTTGATGTATGTCATAAGCAACTCAGCGCTGTCCTGTTTATGCACACAGTCAAACTAATGAATATCCTTCAAGGACCTGGAGAGCTCCACTAACGTGTCACTGAGCATCAAAAGACTGCTGTCCTGCCTTTGCTCTGCACGCTGATGGCCAGCTTGGCAAAGGGACCACTTTAAGGTAAGCCTGGCTTCTCTTTGATGAATTGTTGCACTAATAACATTTACTGAGGTCTTGTGTTGGACACACTCCAGCAAGGGCCAAGCTGACTGTGTGAGGGTAAAAGAATACTCCCAATACTTGAATAGTGCATTTTGATATATTATGTGCAAATTTGATGCTGTTTTTAAGTTCAACTTCACTATAGTTTAAATCTTGCAATCTTAATTGTTGGAAAAATTCAAGTATTCTTGAAGCGACTCACACCTCAAAAATTGGTTAGAACCTTCAGGAAACAGTCACAACTTGGGCAAAAAAGGCCATGAATCTCTCTAATAAAAAATGCCATAAATCTCTCTAATAAAAAATAAAAGAAGGCCTCAAAAGGATCATTCTCTTAATACTGAAGTAAAATTGTACTGAATTGCAATACCATAAACAATTATTATTTGCCCTAACACCAAAACAATCCCACCTCTAGATGAAGCAATACCTTTCCTGACACTCTGAAAGAACAAATGGAGGCTCTTTCTCCTTTCCAAGTGAAGAAGATAACACAGAAATTTTTGGCTATAAAATATACTGCAATTCTTTCTGAAGCCCAGTATGCATATGAGTTCCAAGTTTCTGATTCAAGGATATTTACTACACTTCAACAACTGATGCAAAACAGTTTTGAAAATTTTTCAACCCTTTCTCACTTAGTACAATATTTGATTAATAGTCCCACTATTTATCAACAGAAACAAAAGTGCAAAATATATCCCAAGTGATTCAGAATAGTTTTTTTGACATTGATATCTTTTATAGGGTTTTAGGGTCAAAATTTACTTCCTTGCTTAGCAGACAGTTTACAGGCACAGGTGTGTAGAGAAGCACACTTCTTTCCACAGGAGGCTACTCACAAGCATTTCAAGAGATTCTTGCAGGTTCTAAATATATGCCTCAGCACTCATGTGAATTTTACATTTAAAATACTGAATAGGCATTTAAAACTAAAATTTGGCTCACAGAGAACTAGAGAAAAGTTCTTTAGCTTTTGCTTCTCTGATATATACTGGTAGAATACAGATGGAGAAGAGACCTAAAGATTTCATATGACTTATGGAAAAAAAAAAAAAAAAAAAAAATCAAATAAAATGAGGGTAATGTGCAAAGATCTTTTGGTAAGTAAAGCAACCATTCAGATGGGTCACATCACAACAGAACAGTCACTATATAAATAAAAGAAAAAAAAAAAAAAAAAAAAAGAGAGAACTTAAAAGATTATCAATGATCCCCAATTCTGCTTTAACTCATAGTGCTGCATAGTTGCAATTATTTTTTTCCTGGTATTATTCTATAAGTACTGAAGGAAAATACATCCCCCTAATTTCCCTTGTGTGATGAAACCAAATGAGATGGCTTGAAGCTTTTAAAAAGGTGTGTTCTTCGATCCTTTCTGTTATTAAGCAACAAATCCTATGAAAACAATGTATTATTAGCAAAAGTCTCACTCAAAATGGTAAGAAAGTGGCATTAAATTCCATTTTAAGTGAGCCCTTTGCTGTGAATGTCTAAGAGGAGAAGAACAAAGTTCTAAGTGAACAACACTCCTCCAACTTACTCCCAAATTATAAAGGTGTATCTGGAAGCTGTAAAAAATGTGCATGTATGCACTATGGTGGAAAAAATAAACATCATAAATACTTAATCTGAGAATGAAAATTACATGATAAAAATGTTCTCATGTGAAATCACTAATGGTTATAAACCTTATCCATAATTTTTACATCTTCCAAAGGACATTTATAGTTTACCCATTTTGAATTGAAAGCTTCTAAAACTTGTGTGAAGGACTTTTTTTTTAGAAGTTCTGTCAGCTATTTAATAAGACAAAAATGTTTTTGTTATACTTAGGAGAACAATATTGTATATAACTCCGATGAGGGATCAAAAACCCACCAAACCTTAAAAGTGTTCATTTTTTATTAGATGCCTTAGGACTACATGGATTTAAGTGTTTTTATAAAAAAAGACTACCATAACAATAAAAGAGGAGTAATTTGATGGTTTATTTACTCGTTATAACCTTTAGAAAGTGTCAAGCCTTCTTTAAAGTGTTTGCTTCAGGCTGTAGTTTTACAAGATGGGCTGTGGATTGGTCAAGCCCCCTCGATTCTTGACCCTGAACAGATTTAGGAACAGAGTACAGCTGGCTCATGTCCAAGCAGCCAAAACTGCTGCTAGGTACTTTTATTATCTTTTTTGAACTTACAGTCTCCCTCCTACAAAATTGCACATCCAATTTTCATGCGGGTCAAATAGTACTCACAGAAACTACAAATTCTGATTGTTTCATACTATAATTAGAAATTCCTTCATGAATGAAGAAGACCAGTACAATTTTTAGTAGATCTCATGGATATTGTTCTTTTCCAGGGCAAATTTTAAAAGGAGAGAAGATATTCATAGAAACATGATTCTAACTTAAGTTTCTGATAAAACATTGTTAAATTTTCATAGTTACAACAGTTAACAAAAAATAATAGCAACATATATTTGGAATCTATTCTCAAAAACTTTCTTTCAGATGGAGGGACACAGAAATTTGTACCAACCACTATTTTTCCTTTGGAAATTTTTCACTGGTCTGTCCTTGACTCCACAGCATAGGCTACAATTACTCTTTATTTAAATCTCTTCTATCAAAATATATTCCTAGAAAGGCCTGCACGGATACTTAGAGCACTCTCCAAATGCAAGTAATCAGTTCCTAATCAAAAGCCACAATATTCACAAACAGAGAAATTACCACCTAATACACTGTTTGCTGACTCGAACAAGTCATGAGATCTGAAATTCAGTGCTGTTTATTCTCTTAAATCCACATACCTACTTTTTTTCCCCAATACTCAGCTATCCTTTTGTCTGTCATTTTAGTAAAAAAATTCCCTAATTTACACTTAGGTATAAAATCCAGCTAAAAGGCTGTTAGGAAGAAGGCCCTCGGCTGCAGAGCAAGACTGACAAACATGGAAGTAAGTGAAGGGATATCCAGCACAAAAGGATCATTGGCTGAGTCAGTGCTAGATGAGTGGGAGAGCTAAACTGGAAAAAACAAAAGATACTCTAACTACTGGAGCATGAAATAATCCCTGTGGGGCAAGGTAAAGAGAAATATAACTTTTTGTGGCTTTTAATTACTTACATATTCATATTATGTCAATTCCTATGGAGAACAAAGACCCTGTGAATAGCCAAAGGAACAAAGTGAAGCTGCATCAAGTATAATCATTTAAGCAAATATTCTTTAGAACAAACTTGTACAGCTATCAAGAATTGGGATTTCCTTTGGAAGATGAAACAGATGAACAGTCCTTTACTCTGAGCAACTCTTCTAAACTATTTTTGAGAGTTTAAGTTCAGTATGATGATATTGAGTAAGGATTGCGACAAATCTCTCAGAATATTTTCATATTTAAGAGTTTGCTTTTTGTTAGCTTCACACAGATAATTTAATCCACAAATTTATTTTTATTAATCTGAATTTGTGCTGCAGCTTAACCAACCATTCCAGACAGTTTATTAAACTCAAAATACACAATAGGTCCTGTCCCAAAGAGTCTCTTGTTGAAGTGGCAAGCAAGACCAAGAAGGGGAAGAAAAACAGAAGCAAACAGAGGTAAAATAATCTCATCTGAGGCCAAGCCAGAGGTCAAAGACAAAACTTAAGAGTAAAATCCATGGTGCTGGCTCTAGTGCCTCCCTCAGGTTATCAGTCAAATGAACCTCACAAGGAAGTGAGAGAAGTAATAAGAAAACTGCAGAATTTTCCATTTTACTCCACTTTCTGATGGAGCAGATGAGTTTAACACACAGTTTGTGTGTTTCATTCTTGGCCATGGAAAAATTAGCATGGTGCAAGACAAGCACTGTAATTCTCTGAGTTATCCCTATATTTTGGTCTATGCACTACCTTTCTCTCAGGGCTGATTAAAAATTTACAGAATAACCTTACAGTGACTGAATTTGGAAGAAATCCATAGCTAAAATTGGGAGAGGGTTTTTTAGGGATATTTTAAAGCAAAAACATCCATACAAAATTCTACTTAAAAAGATAAAAATTAATCCCACTAAGCATAAGCCACATTATTCATTAAATCTTGCTTCTTCAAAACACTTATGTTTTATATTCCAAGCTTCAAATATACTAAGCAAGCAGCCCTGAACTAGCAAAACCAGTCAAAAATGCATTCAAGGACACTCCAAGATTTCAAACTGGCTGTTAGTAAAATGCTTACTTTTTAATCTAAATTTCTAACTAAACAGGTAAATATATACATAAGCGTATATTTTTCTAGGGTAAAGGAAAGCACAGCTATTTTAAACACTTGGGGCCATGTCTTAATTGTGAAATTGGCTCTTAGCATTTGCATCAGTTTTGAACCTAAAAACAATTTCAAGGCAAAATATTACTCACCTTTCTGAGACAACTTTTACAAAATCAGTCACAAACTCTTGTAGTATAGCAGACACAAAACAGGAATAAAAACCCAAATAAAAATGCCAAAAGATTAAATCCCATGGCACTCCATGAACACTTTAGATTCTGACCAAGTGCATTAAAAGTGCAACATTGAGTTAACCATGTAAATTCAGCTAAGCAGTTTTATAAAGAAAAGTATATTCTAATCATTATAATAGTATAATATATATGTGTATATTTAATTTTATTATATATAATAATAGAGTTAAATTATTCTGTCTTTTAATAGCAAAATAGTTTGACTAGACTAAACATGTTCCATTTTAACACAGGTCTGGGGACCACACCATGGGGGCTTTAACAGTACTACACCAAGAAAGTACCATCATGTAGCCTTTCTCTCTTTCTTTTTTTCTTTTTAATGGCAGCCATTCTTTTGTTTATGGCTTTTAAAGAGAGGATTATAGCATTTCACTTAGATCAAAATATGCATAAATCAAGCATGTTATCAATACTAATATTTTAAAAATAATAATACACATATTTTGAGCAGGTCAAATTAATCAGATGAAGAAAAATACACTTTAGGTCATTCAATACACACAGGAGTTCAGAAACCCTAAGGGGAGAAATAGACAGAAATGTTTCCATACACACAACTGAAAAAGTAACCACAGAAAAATACAAGTGACAAATTAACTACAAGAATAAACAGCTGCCTTTACCAGCATGGAAGCAATTTCACCTTGGTACTACTACAAGATGATTCCGCTAATTTCAAAACCAAAACACCCCCACTCCTAATACTCAATATACTATTATTGTAGGGGTTTAGCTTCATAGATTAGCAATGTAAAAATGATGAAATAAAGTGGTTTTAATATAGCTCTTTGCCTGCATAGGTAATTCTGAAAAGCACAAGTAAACAGCCAAAATCACCACTTTTCTGGCAAATGGCAAATCAATTATGAAATGAGAAAGACTTGGGGACTTGGAAAACACTTTGATTCTTTCTTTTTATTTTGTATCAAAGACTGCTGTTAAAGGGAAGAATTATAATGAAGGACAATAATTTAATGGAGTTTTTCTCAACAGTCTGAGTATCAACTCAGCAACTTCTTATGTTGTTGCAGAAAATCCAAATTAATTCCCATACAACCCTGTTCCCTTTGTGCTGGGAAATTTGTAGCACACTCTATTATATTTTTAAACAAAACCCTGTTTGGTGAATCACTTAAAATACAGCATGAGTTTTAGCCACACTTATGCAGCATTTTCTGTGATTACCTACAGAGAGACAGAAATAAGACAAAGAAAGACCAAATTCAATGTAAACAAATTTACCCTTCTTATACGCAGTTCTTCTATTGCCTCCAATAAACTTGTTTTGAAGTCTAACAGTCGAATGGAAAGCAAAGTCTCTGATGGACTTGGAAGAGTAGAGTCAAATGCCTGTGTTTTAAAGTCTTCATCCATTCTTTGAGCTCC